AGAGACAGCTATAGGGCTTTGATCTGAATGTAGAGACATCTATAGGGCTATGATCTGAATGTAAAGACAGCTATAGGGATATGATCTGAATGTAGAGACAGCTATAAGGCTATGATCTGAATGTAGAGACAGATATAGGGCTATGATCTGAACGTAGAGACAGCTATAGGGCTATGATCTGAATATAGAGACAGATATAGGGCCATGATCTGAATGTAGAGACAGCTGGAGCAATATGATCTGAAAGTAGAGACAGCTGTTGGGCTATGATTTGAATGTAGAGACAGATATAAGGCTATGATCTGAATGTAGAGACAGCTATAAGGCTATGATCTGAATGTAGAGACAGATATAGGGCTATGATCTGAATGTAGAGACAGATATAGGGCTATGATCTGAGTGTAGAGACAGCTATAAGGCTATGATCTGAATGTAGAGACAGATATAGGGATATGATCTGAATGTAGAGACAGCTATAGGGCTATGATCTGAGTGTAGAGACAGCTATAAGGCTATGATCTGAATGTAGAGACAGATATAGGGATATGATCTGAATGTAGAGACAGCTATAGGGATATGATCTGAATGTAGAGACAGCTATAAGGCTATGATCTGAATGTAGAGACAGATATAGGGCTATGATCTGAATGTAGAGACAGAAATAGGGATATGATCTGAATGTAGAGACAGATATAGGGCTATGATCTGAGTGTAGAGACAGCTATAGGGATATTGTCTGAATGTAGAGACAGATATAGGGCTATGATCTGAATGTAGAGACAGATATAGGGCTATGATCTGAATATAGAGACAGATATAGGGCTATGATCCGAATGTAGAGACAGCTATAGGGATATGATCTGAATGTAGAGACAGCTATAAGGCTATGATCTGAGTGTAGAGACAGCTATAAGGCTATGATCTGAATGTAGAGACAGATATAGGGATATGATCTGAATGTAGAGACAGATATAGGGCTATGATCTGAATGTAGAGACAGATATAGGGTTATGATCTGAGTGTAGAGACAGCTATAAGGCTATGATCTGAATGTAGAGACAGATATAGGGATATTGTCTGAATGTAGAGACAGCTATAGGGATATGATCTGAATGTAGAGACAGCTATAAGGCTATGATCTGAATGTAGAGACAGATATAGGGCTATGATCTGAATGTAGAGACAGAAATAGGGATATGGTCTGAATGTAGAGACAGATATAGGGCTATGATCTGAGTGTAGAGACAGCTATAGGGATATTGTCTGAATGTAGAGACAGCTATAGGGATATGATTGGAATGTAGTGACAGCTATAGGGATATTGTCTGAATGTAGAGACACTGATATGAATGTACATGCAATTATATGACTGTGATATGAACGAGGAGGCAGCTTAACCTACATTCAGAAAAAACTAAGGTAAACCAAGTTGATAACCATTCAAGGGGAAAATCATATTATGTATTTATCGAGGCCATACCCTTTCACACATGTCATCATTTAAGCATTTATGGTTGTGTAAATGACATGGCTATGCAGGCAAGCATCGTATTGTTCTCTAGACTAAAATTCACACTGATAATAAAACAGAACTCTTAACCTGCCTGGATATACATGTAGTATTATTCTGTTTGGAATTGTTCTTCGGTCCACATTTTGTTGATTTTAAACAAAGAGACGTTGTTAAGTCTTGATAAGTTATAACTGATGTATAGAGTAGTGATTTTTTTATCCATTTCTTATTTAACTTCAACTGTTGCAGTAGTACTTAAAAGCTGTCAATGCGATTTGAGTTTTCGGCAATAAAAAAATAGGCACATGTTATAACATCCTCTCCAGAACAATGAGTTTTGTAAGGCAAAGACAATGTCACATCTGGTAGACATTAAACGCTGTAAACGTTAGCCGCAGTGGGATCGCAGGAAGAAAATCGGATATTTTTTTTTGTATCCTGCTTTCTATTCTTCGGCTTTTATCGGCGATGATGACGTCATCGTTCATACATGTACCATGATGACGTCAGCATTTTTAAATGTGTGTAAAAATGTAGAATAAACTACACTATCTTCAGTTATCTACAGGCTGATTAGTGTTCTTACAACCATATTATCTCATTGATTAAAAACACAAACAAAAAACAATCTCCTACAGCCGGGACGTGAAGGGGCCGATGGTGAAGAGCACCGGACGTGTTGAGAGAGCATTATTAGGGCAGTGACAATGTCGCTAAGTCTAGCAGTCACCAGCTTTTTTTTTTCTTTATTCTAGGCTTTCCATTTCCCCTGAACAATTACTAGTAACCATACGTTTACTGAATACCCTAATTATTGCGCCAAACACACCATACCAAATATGATTAGATTCTTTAAAACAAATTCGACATTCAAAATTTTCCGCGTGACTAACAGCCCGTTTACATTCCAAGGAACTTTACAAAACAGTTATAACATAAAACTTTGCACTTATACACAAGTAGTGGAATAAGACGAACACTCGGAAAAAGTTACATGTATTTACATTTGTACGGCATTGCCACAGCTAACCAGAGCGGTACCATAGAGCAAAAACATGAAGACATTATTGTTGGCATAGAAACAAGTGACGACTTCCTTTCAAAATGGCTGTTCCGCTTGATTGATTGCACTCCGGGGAATAAATGAAAATTTCAGTTTAAATGAAGTTATAATAGATATCCGCGTGACGAGGGAATGTATATATTAGTATTAGACTTTGTGATATGCATATATATCCGATATAAATGACAGAACTTTGTATGCAAACGTCATATTGCGAACTTGTATAGCATATTACGTTCAATACATAAATATAAACGTATGTCAGAGCTTTGTAGACTTCCGTACCATACTACGTAATATATTTGTCTGTAAAACTCTGTCATTTATGATTACCGTAAACACAACACCGAGACAGTTCAAGGCTTAACAACTCTTAACGTGGAAAACGTCATATCAGATAGTGTGAGAGACTTGAGCCGTTGATCTCATTTAGGGATACGTCTAATTGTTAAGTCGAGATAAGAATTCAGTGTTACACTTGGTATCGTCTCAAGCATTCCAAGATCATAATGTATAAGGTATGAAAAAAATAAGGGTATGAAATTGGACCGGTACTTTATAGTCAGATGAATATCTCTTTTATAAGATAATTGTAGATCTGAAATTATCACTTAATCCTAACGTTGTTCTAAGCTTGTTTATCAAAGTGTAGGTTATAACGATATATTTGTAATTCCACGTAGTACATTCTAAAACTACTACCGTTCTGTCTATAATCCTAATTTAGGGGATACACATGGGACAATCCCTAATATTATAGACTCGATCTAGGACGGTGTTACCTGGATATAAACTCACATTCGATGATGTTCGAGGGAGTTCGGCGAACCAAGGTCTATATATATATATTTATATATGTCAGTTTTCATTCATGACACCGGGCTTGTAAATAGTACATTGCCTGCCGTATGTTGGAGAGAGAGATCCCTTCCAGCCTCCCTATCTCAGACATGTATCTTATGAAACACGCGTGCTGAGGGAAGCACGGTCGTACGTTACTGGTATTTATCCTTGTTTCTCGTCTCCTATTACCTACGGTAGTAAATATGTAGTAGCCTTGTCGAGTGTCAAGTATGAGGCGGATCTGTTCATTACAATAGTTGACAATGCAAATTACATTCACAGAACCCTGGAGTAGCTCCATACATTACCAACTGTACATAGCACAACACAGCTTCTGTCGCAGAATTCCTATCTGACGATATATCAACCTTTGTCACATATTTGCTATCTTTCCATGGATCGTCGAATCGTGACCCGGGTCAAGTACCTTTGTCACATAATAACGATCTATAGATCCTCGGATGGTAACCTGAGTCTCAAACCTCTGTCACATAATAGCAATCTATAGATCCTCGGATCGTAACCTGACTAACTTAGCTGTGCACACAGTAACCCTTCACTGGACACATATAATCGTAACCCGGGTTACTAAGTCATAATCTGTCCTAAACGTGTACAACGTAACCCTCGTCTACCTCATATAATCGTAACCTTGGTTACTTAGTCATAACTTGTCTTAAACGTGTACAATGTAACCCTCGTCTACCTCATATAATCGTAACCTTGGTTACTTAGTCATAACTTGTCTTAAACGTGTACAATGTAACCCTCGTCTACCTCATATAATCGTAACCTTGGTTACTTAGTCATAACCTGTCTTAAACGTGTACAATGTAACCCTCGCCTGTCGCGGATAATCGTAACCTTGGTTACTTAGTCATAACCTGTCTTAAACGTGTACAATGTAACCCTCGCCTGTCGCGGATAATCGTAACCTTGGTTACTTAGTCATAACCTGTCTTAAACGTGTACAATGTAACCCTCGCCTGTCGCGGGTAATCGTAACCTTGGTTACTTAGTCATAACCTGTCTTAAACGTGTACACTGTAACGTAATGGAATGTATTGTAGCCTATACGTTATGAGTCATTAGCTTCCTAGATCACGTTCTGTTTTTTACACGTCATTATTTGACTGCTGTGCGTGAATCTACCATGGTTCTGTACGTGTACGTAACGTTGTCGTCTTTAACTAAATCTGTTACGACAACGTCAAGCTAACCTTCCAAGAGATCCATGGTTTGGTCCACTATTGGATAAGTCACCCAAACTCACTAGAAATACTTGTAGAGTAATGAAGCTGTTACATTACAGTTTCCCGTTGGGACTGCCTGGGGTAGAGCTGACCACTATCTGATCACCGATAACATCAATGATAATGTATCCAAGCGAGTGTCAAACAACAATGCTTTATTACAGGCAATGACTGACAGGCAGCAGCTCGACCACACGACTATTAATAGACACAGTGTGTTCATCATATATCGATTTCGACTTGACGCTTACTACATCATTTACAAACAAAATGTACTTGACACACGTGCGTTTCTATGTCTTTCACCAATCTACAGGTACCTAAATTTGTGCTCTCCTTTCATTAAAATCCACTGTAATCTGTGAACGTAAAGAGGATGAGGACAATTCGCCAGTGATTCCGCAGCTGAAGCCAGCATGGCATACTGCAGCAGCAGAAGTAAAGGCGCTGGCGTGGAGCAGGGGGTTCCCAGTATCCGCACGCGGCTTTCATGTACATAGGTGTTCTCTAACACAACTATACATACTGCTTGACAGATTTCCACAAGAAAAATGGCGTGTCATATTTCTTGAATCATTATGAACTTTGTGACTGATTCATACTATCCGATTTCTCTGAAAGTTTTCACAGTCGCTGTATAGGATGGCGTCTCTCGCCTACTTGAGGACTAATGTAAACCATATGATTAGCGTCGGGCTTGTATAAACAGGCCTAATTATTGATGGTGTGCTCATCCTTATTGTCCAGTTCCTCAGCTGGAATATTAACACAAATCTGGACACGGTACCAAGCTACAAGTTGATCACTATGGTGAGTAGTTATACATGATGTATCTATATTATTGTACTCTTGTTTTCTATTTTATAATCTGGAGGTAAAAATAAATTGATATATTAATTCGTATATTACAACTAAACTAGTGTGTCTGATACATAGCATCTTATCAATACCTCTCCACTGATCCACTGATCAATACCTCTCCATTGATCAATACCTCACCACTGATCAATACCTCTCCACTGATCAATACCTCACCACTGATCAATACCTCTCCACTGATCAATACCTCACCACTGATCAATACTTCTCCACTGATCAATACCTCTCCACTGATCACCACTGATCAATACCTCTCCACTGATCACCACTGATCAATACCTCTCCACTGATCACCACTGATCAATACCTCTCCACTGATCACCACTGATCAATACCTCTCCACTGATCAATACCTCACCACTGATCAATACCTCTCCACTGATCAATACCTCTCCACTGATCAATACCTCACCACTGATCAATACCTCTCCACTGATCAATACCTCTCCACTGATCAATACCTCACCACTGATCAATACATCTCCACTGATCAATACCTCTCCACTGATCACCACTGATCAATACCTCTCCACTGATCAATACCTCACCACTTATCAATATCTCTCCACTGATCAATACCTCTCAACTGATCAATACCTCACCACTGATCAATACCTCTCCACTGATCAATATCTCTCCACTGATCAATACCTCACCACTGATCAATACCTCACCACTGATCACCGCTGATCAAAACCTCTCCACTGATCACCACTGATCAATACCTCTCCACTGATCACCACTGATCAAAACCTCTCCACTGATCACCACTGATCAATACTCCACTGATCACCACTGATCTCTCCACTGATCAATACCTCTCCACTGATCACCACTGATCAATCACTCTAGTCCTCTCTATGCCTCTACAATACATCACCACTGATCAATACCTCTCCACTGATCAATGCCTCTCCACTGATCACCACTGATCAATACCTCACCACTGATCAATATATCTCCGCTGATCAATACCTCTCCACTGATCAATACCTCACCACTGATCAATACCTCTCCACTGATCACCACTGATCAATACCTCTCCACTGATCAATATCTCTCCACTGATCAATATCTCTCCGCTGATCAATACCTCACCACTGATCAATACCTCTCCACTGATCAATATCTCTCCACTGATCAATACCTCTCCACTGATCAATATCTCTCCACTGATCAATATCTCTCCACTGATCAATACCTCTCCACTGATCAATACCTCTCCACTGATCAATACCTCTTCACTGATCAATGCCTCTCCACTGATCAATACCTCACCACTGATCAATACCTCACCACTGATCATCACTGATCAATACCTCTCCACTGATCAATACCTCACCACTGATCAATACCTCACCACTGATCACCGCTGATCAAAACCTCTCCACTGATCACCACTGATCAATACCTCTCCACTGATCAATACTCACCACTATCAATATCTCTCCACTGATCAATACCTCTCAATACCTCACCATTGACCAATGATCAATATATCACCACTGATCCCTCACCACAATGATCAATATCAATACCTCCAATACTATCTCACCACTGATCAATACCTCACCACTGATCACCGCTGATCAATACCTCACCACTGATCACCGCTGATCAAAACCTCTCCACTGATCACCACTGATCAATACCTCTCCACTGATCACCACTGATCAAAACCTCTCCACTGATCACCACTGATCAATACCTCACCAATGATCAATATATCTCCGCTGATCAATACCTCACCACTGATCAATACCTCACCACTGATCACCACTGATCAAAACCTCTCCACTGATCACCACTGATCAATACCTCACCAATGATCAATATATCTCCACTGATCAATACCTCACCACTGATCAATACCTCTCAAATGATCAATACCCCTCCACTGATAAATACCTCTCCTCTGTTCAATACCTCTCCACTTATCAATACCCCTCCTCTGATAAATACCTCTTCTCTGTTCAATACCTCTTCAATGATCAATACCTCATGTGACTGCATTACCTGACACTACACATGTATATGCCTAACTGTTGTGTATGGTACATACCACTACACATGTCTTTGCCTAACTGTTGTGTATGATACATAACACTACACAGGTATATGCCTAACTGTTGTGTATGATACATACCACTACACAGGTATATGCCTAACTGTTTTGTATGATACATAACACTATACATGTATATACCTAACAGTTGTGTGTGATACATACCACTACACAGGTATATGCCTAACTGTTTTGTATGATACATAACACTATACATGTATATACCTAACAGTTGTGTGTGATACATACCACTACACATGTACATACCTAACTGTTGTGTATGATACATACCACTACACAGATATATACCTACCTGTTGTGTATGATACATACCACTACACAGGTATATGCCTAACTGTTGTGTATGATACATACAACTAAACATGTATATACCTAACTGTTGTGTATGATACATACCACTACGAGGTATATATCTAACTGTTGTGTATCATACATACCACTACGAGGTATATACCTAACTGTTGTGTATGATACATACTACTACACATGTACATACCTAAATGTTGTGTATGATACATACCACTACACATGTATATACCTAACTGTTGTGTATGATACATACCACTACGAGGTATATACCTAACTGTTGTGTATGATACATACTACTACACATGTATATACCTAACTGTTGTGTATGATACATACCACTACACATGTATATACCTAACTGTTGTGTATGATACATACGACTACGAGGTATATACCTAACTGTTGTGTATGATACATACCACTACACAGATATATTCCTAACTGTTGTGTATGATACATACCACTACACATGTATATGCCTAAGTGTTATGTATGATACATACCACTACACATGTACATACCTAACTGTTGTGTATGATACATACCACTAGATATGTATATACCTTACTGTTGTGTTTGTTACATACCACTACATCGGTATAAGCCTAACTGTTGTGTATGATACATACCACTACACCGGTATATACCTAACTGTTGTCTATGATACATACCACTACATATGTATATGCCTAACTGTTGTATATAATAGACACCAGTATATTGGTATATACCTAACTGTTGTTAGAAATACATGTTGATGAACTGTATTACATTCAATGTCTTTATAACACATACAATGTTAGAATATTACATAAAGGTTGTGTATGGATATTATTGTTATAATGAGAATACTTTCCTGTGATGCACCTGAATAGATCTTCAGCCATGATCTATGAATGGGGTGCAAACATTAATTAGTTTCTGTATCCAAGACAACATATAATACGATTCAATGCCCACGACAGTCACCATAATGTCACACTGCTCAAACGCTGTTAAGTAATAACCAGTTGTTAGTGATAATTTACAAACGTTATTTAAAAAGAAAACTTGAAAACATTCTTTATCATTTCACCGTTGTAGTTTTGTTGAGACAGGTCAGATGCACCATTTTGACTTTTTCACTAACCACTGGTTAACTCTAACTAATTTTTCAGTAAGCAGGGCCAAGCTATCACGTCATACCTTTCAGGACTCTAGGCTTCCGGCCGTAATGCCACATCATTCACTTCCGTTGTTCACCGAGCCGCCGTCAGAACACACCAGTCTTGTCATGCAATTCAATCCCCTAGGCCACCAGATTGTCATGTCACACCACTTAGTACACCAGGCCACCAGGCTGTCACTTCACACCTTTCAGTATCCTGGCCACCATGCTGTCATACCAAACCACTCAGTACACAAGGCAACCAGGCTATCATGTCACACCTTTCAGTATCCTGGCCACCAGGCTGTCATACCAAACCACTCAGTACACAAGGCCACCAGACTGTCATGTCACACCTTTCAGTATCCTGGCCATCAGGCTGTCATACCAAACCACTCAGTACACAAGGCCACCAGGATGTCATACCAAACCACTCAGTACACAAGGCCACCAGGCTGTCATACCAAACCACTCAGTACACAAGACCACCAGGGTGTTATGTCACACCATAATGTACAGTTAAAATGTTCACCTCAGTATACAATTAGAAACCTGTTGGTTTTACTATATAGATACAAACATGTCGGCCTTATTGTACTGTTAGAAACCTGTTGGTTTTACTATACAGATACAAGCCTGTTGGTTTTACTATACAGATACAAACCTGTTGGTTTTACTATACAGATACAAACCTGTCGGCCTTATTGTACTGTTAGAAGCCTGATGGTTTTACTATACAGATACAAACCTGTCGACCTTATTGTACTGTTAGAAGCCTGTTGGTTTTACTATACAGATTCAAACCTGTCGGCCTTATTGTACTGTTTGAAACCTGTTTGTTTTACTATACAGATACAAACCTGTTTGCCTGATTATACAGCTATTAACATTTCTGTTTTAGTGTACAATTAGAAATCTGTATTCCTTAATGCATTTAGAAACCTGTCCGCCTTCGTGTACAGTTAGGAAACCTGTCCGCCTTCGTGTACAGTTAGGAAACCTGTCCGCCTTCGTGTACAGTTAGGAAACCTGTCCTCCTTCGTGTACAGTTAGGAAACCTGTCCGCCTTCGTGTACAGTTAGGAAACCTGTCCGCCTTCGTGTACAGTTAGGAAACCTGTCCTCCTTCGTGTACAGTTAGGAAACCTGTCCGCCTTCGTGTACAGTTAGGAAACCTGTCCGCCTTCGTGTACAGTTAGGAAACCTGTCCGCCTTCGTGTACAGTTAGGAAACCTGTCCTCCTTCGTGTACAGTTAGGAAACCTGTCCGCCTTCGTGTACAGTTAGGAAACCTGTCCGCCTTCGTGTACAGTTAGGAAACCTGTCCGCCTTCGTGTACAGTTAGGAAACCTGTCCGCCTTCGTGTACAGTTAGGAAACCTGTCCGCCTTATTGTACAATTAGAACCCTCAAAACAACACAATAAGTATATCAATGTAACAACTACATCAAGGTATCAAAACCTATTTAATCATATAACACTAAATACCATGTTGACAGCAATTAATATAGTTTATCTTAGAAACAGCACTTCAGCAGAACTACACTCTACTAATGTACGATCCGGGAAGTGTCCACGGCCTTGCTATCGCGAGCAGGAAATAGGAAACACCTTACACCATAAACAGATTCCGGGAGGCGCGCAAGCTCATGAAAAATGAGTCGAAGAGAGAATAATTGTAATTCTCCGTCATCATCAAGCTCTTCTTGTAAACGACTAAAGATAGAATTACCAATTAAATGTACAGCAAATGTGCGCTATTGGGAGGCTACAAACAAATAGAAAATTCGTCACGTGCTTGCTAAATAGTCCCCTAAAGATGTGTGAATGGTTCATCATTCGTCACGTGCCTGCTAGATAGTTCCCTAAACATGTGTGAATGGTTCATCATTCGTCACGTGCCTGCTAAATAGTTCCCTAAACATGTGTGAATGGTTCATCATTCGTCACGTGCCTGCTAAATAGTCCGAAAAACATGTGTGAATGGTTCATCATTCGTCACATGCCTGCTAAATAGTCCCCTAAAGATGTGTGAATGGTACATCATTCGTCACGTGCCTGCTAAATAGTCTCCTAAAGATGTGTGAATGGTACATCATTCGTCACGTGCCTGCTAAATAGTTTCCTAAAGATGTGTGAATGGTTCCTCATTCGTCACGTGACTGCTAAATAGTCCCCTAAAGATGTGCGAATGATTCATCATTCGTCACGTGCCTGCAAATATTCTCCAAAAGATGTGTGAATGGTACATCATTCTTCGTCACGTATCGGACCTCTTTTAAGGTTATTACCTTAATTTCAATTTTTCTGCTAGGATTTGAACTCGGAACCTCTGTCTTACTAGTCTGACACTATACCGAACGAGCTAAAAAGAGATCTCTCTATCCGAGCGGTATATTTTGGCTCGTATTTGACCAGGGTTACACTATAATAGTCCCATACCTTCTATTGATGTCTACAGAATAGCAGTGAATATTATTAATTATCATGCAATGTCTATACTTTTGTGATAATAATCATGTAACTATTTGTGCAGCTTTCGTTACATCTTATGAGAAATCTTTGGTGCATTACGAATGAGGATGTACCAGTAATGATACACACATAAGTCAATCATTCACAATAGGAAACCTGTTTTTTCGATACTAGAACTATACCATTGCTTTCGAACGAGATGTATCCTAACATCTAAATTTTTATGGGTCAGTAATTGAACTTTATTGTTACAGAACCCAGAGCAAGTGATACTGACGGATGAGCAGGTAGCAGGTGAGTTGTACTATGCTTGGAGTAAGCGTTAGACTTCACGTGTAAATTGTGCTGGGAGTAAGCGTTAGACTTCACGTGTAAAGTGTGCTGGGAGTAAACGTTAGGCTTCAGGTGTAAAGTGTGCTGGGAGTTAGCGTTAGGCTTCACGTGTAAAGTGTGCTGGAAGTAAACGTTAGACTCCATGTGTAAAGTGTGCTGGGAGTAAATTTGGCTTCAGGTGTAAAGTGTGCTGGGAGTTAGCGTTAGGCTTCAGGTGTAAAGTGTGCTGGAAGTAAACGTTAGGCTTCAGGTGTAAAGTGTGCTGGAAGTAAACGTTAGGCTTCAGGTGTAAAGTGTGCTGGTAGTAAACGTTAGGCTTCACGTGTAAAGTGTGCTGGTAGTAAACGTTAGGCTTCACGTGTAAAGTGTGCTGAGGTTGTTAGGCATCACGTGTAAAGTGTGATTGGATTGTTAGGCATCACGTGTAAAGTGTGCTGGGGTTGTTAGGCTTCATGTGTAAAGTGTGCTGGGATTGTTAGGCATCACGTGTAAAGTGTGCTGGGGTTGTTAGGCTTCACGTGTAAAGTGTGCTGGGATTATTAGGCATCACGTGTAAAGTGTGCTGGGGTTGTTAGGCTTCACGTTTAAAGTGTGCTGGGGTTGTTCGGCATCACGTGTAAAGTGTGCTGGGATTGTTAGGAATCACGTGTAAAGTGTGCTGGGGTTGTTAGGCTTCACGTTTAAAGTGTGCTGGGGTTGTTCGGCATCACGTGTAAAGTGTGCTGGGGTTGTTAGGCTTCACGTTTAAAGTGTGCTGGGGTTGTTCGGCATCACGTGTAAAGTGTGCTGGGATTGTTAGGAATCACGTGTAAAGTGTGCTGGGGTTGTTATGCTTCACGTTTAAAGTGTGCTGGGGTTGTTCGGCATCACGTGTAAAGTTTGCTGGGGTTGTTAGGCTTCAGGTGTAAAGTGTGCTGCGATTGTTAGGCATCACGTGTAAAGTGTGCTGGGAGTTAGCTTTAGGCTTCACGTGTAAAGTGTGCTGGGATTGTTAGGCATCACGTGTAAAGTGTGCTGGGGTTGTTAGGCTTCACGTGTAAAGTGTGCTGGGGTTGTTAGGCTTCACGTGTAAAGTGTGCTGGGAGTTAGCGTTAGGCTTCACGTGTAAAGTGTGCTGGGGTTGTTAGGCATCACGTGTAAAGTGTGCTGGGGTTGTTAGGCTTCACGTGTAAAGTGTGCTGGGATTATTAGGCATCACGTGTAAAGTGTGCTGGGATTGTTAGGCATCACGTGTAAAGTGTGCTGGGGTTGTGAGGCATCACGTGTAAAGTGTGCTGGGGTTGTTAGGCTTCACGTGTAAAGTATGATTGGATTGATAGGCTTCGAGTGTTAAGTTGCAGGGATTGTTAGGTTTCGGGTGTAAAGTGTGCTTGGATTGTTAGGCATCACGTGTAAAGTGTGCTGGGATTGTTAGGCATCACGTGTAAAGTGTGCTGGGGTTGTGAGGCATCACGTGTAAAGTGTGCTGGGGTTGTTAGGCTTCACGTGTAAAGTGTGATTGGATTGATAGGCTTCGAGTGTTAAGTTCCAGGGATTGTTAGGTTTCGCGTGTAAAGTGTGCTGGGGTTGTTAGTCTTCACGTGTAAAGTGTGCTGGGGTTGTTAGTCTTCATGTGTAAAGTGTGATTGGATTGATAGGCTTCAAGTATTAAGTTGCAGGGATTGTTAGGTTTCGCGTGTAAAGTGTGCTTGGATTGTTAGTCTTCATGTGTAAAGAGTAAAGTGGGCTTGAAGTGTACATGGTTTCATGTGTAAGTGACCGCGGTCCGATAAACGCAAAGTATTCGATGATTTGTCCGAAAAGCTAAAGACAGATACAGGTAGTCATCAATTATTAGTTATGTGTCATATTCAGGTATACCTGTCCACTCTGCAATCACCGCTATCTTTTGTTATATTTCGACATAGAAACAACTGTATTTCAGCTCTATGTTAATTTTTCTGAGTTTTTGCATTGCTTAACTTTAAATAACCATATATCAAGATAAACGATTCTGTTTATTCTATTGATTAAATTTACTAAAGGAACTCGGCTCTTAGCAATTGGTTGGGTGTACACCATATAGCTTAATTAAGCTCATTCAACGTCACGTGAACTCAATTTTCACCCAAGCTGTTGAAGTTGCGATAGTCTCAGATATATGTTGCAGGATAAACCTGCCACTTCTGTCTTTCTTTACCCTTGCCAAAATACAGTCTTTTGTTTTTTCACACTGACCAAGCATTATCTGTGCATATTCCATGCATCCTCAATCTCCGGAGAAGACAGACGGGTAGTGAGAATGATAATTGAAGTGACGATTAAAAATTACTTGCCACTTCCGAGGCAGTCTTGATTTCATTACCAGAAACGGGAAATAAAGCACGTTTACATTTGATGTCTTCCTCTTGTGTGTGTTAACCTGTAAGCGAAGGTAAGAAAACAGACACATATAGGCCACTTAAGGATTGAAACCATAGATATAAGAAAACCGGGCGTGTATGGTCTCATTAATTGGCGTTGTAAGAAAGATTCTGAACAGCAAGCCTTCGTAAGAGGATATTCCTAATAAGCGACTTTTGTGTGATCAGCGACATCAGACAGGTAAATCTGGGTAAATCTTAGTAATTAATGTCACGTTTTCTAAAGAAAACAACGATGCCATCTGGCATACTAACGGTATTTGTAAACCTGTCAGCTGTCGATAGTATCATTGAACTTTGAAACAATTCCTCCTTATCAAATCAGCACCGACATGTCTAAAACGTGGGTAAGGAAGACGGGTTCTTACGAAATAGAACAAAAAGATTCACAGCAGAGTTATTAAAAAAAAAACCCAACTTAGTTAAAGACTATAAGATGTTCATCTCTAACGCGTTGAAGTCGAAATTTTAGGTAAACAAAAGCTATCGAGTTCGGGCGGGTACATACCATAACCATTATCGATATATCATTCACTTATCTATACACGACATTGAAACACTAGACAGTCTGTTTCATAATGTAAGTATTTTGAAAAAAAAAAATCAAGAAACAAAAAACGCCTTATATGTACTTCGGTCCGTTCTCTAGTATATAAAAGGGATGCTCTCATCACCAGTAACATACTGGGTTGTTATTTTGAGAAAGTCGTAGTAAATTTATTATCTGTAGTGTGAAAGTCCAGTATGGAGACTTGTGGTGGAGGTATGATCTGTAGGGTGAAAGTCCAGTATGGAGACTTGTGGTGGAGGTATGATCTGTAGGGTGAAAGTCCAGTTTGGAGACTTGTGGTGGAGGTATGATCTGTAGGGTGAACGTCCAGTATGGAGACTTGTGGTGGAGGTATGATCTGTAGGGTGAAAGTCCAGTATGGAGACTTGTGGTGGAGGTATGATCTGTAGGGTGAACGTCCAGTATGGAGACTTGTGGTGGAGGTATGATCTGTAGGGTGAACGTCCAGTATGGAGACTTGTGGTGGAGGTATGATCTGTAGGGTGAACGTCCAGTATGGAGACTTGTGGTGGAGGTATGATCTGTAGGGTGAAAGTCCAGTATGGAGACTTGTGGTGGAGGTATGATCTGTAGGGTGAAAGTCCAGTATGGAGACTTGTGGTGGAGGTATGATCTGTAGGGTGAATGTCCAGTATGGAGACTTGTGGTGGAGGTATGATCTGTAGGGTGAACGTCCAGTATGGAGACTTGTGGTGGAGGTATGATCTGTAGGGTGAAAGTCCAGTATGGAGACTTGTGGTGGAGGTATGATCTGTAGGGTGAACGTCCAGTATGGAGACTTGTGGTGGAGGTATGATCTGTAGGGTGAAAGTCCAGTATGGAGACTTGTGGTGGAGGTATGATCTGTAGGGTAAAAGTCCAGTATGAAGACTTGTGGTGGAGGTATGATCTGTAGGGTGAAAGTCCAGTATGGAGACTTGTGGTGGAGGTATGATCTGTAGGGTGAAAGTCCAGTATGGAGACTTGTGGTGGAGGTATGATCTGTAGGGTGAAAGTCCAGTATGGAGACTTGTGGTGGAGGTATGATCTGTAGGGTGAAAGTCCAGTATGGAGACTTGTGGTGGAGGTATGATCTGTAGGGTGAAAGTCCATTATGGAGACTTGTGGTGGAGGTATGATCTGTAGGGTGAAAGTCCAGTATGGAGACTTGTGGTGGAGGTATGATCTGTAGGGTGAAAGTCCAGTTTGGAGACTTGTGGTGGAGGTATGATCTGTAGGGTGAACGTCCAGTATGGAGACTTATTGTGGAGGTATGATCTGTAGGGTGAAAGTCCAGTATGAAGACATGTGGTGGATTTATGAAGACAACATTACATTACTTTTAAACAAACTACTATCTCATCATACTGATCACACGATCCTCCGGGAAATTGAAGCCTAGAGCTATGACATCACTTGTTTCGGCTACTGGTGTCTTAGTCGGCCACGTGTGCTGCTTCAAGCATTTACGTTTCCCTCGGGATGATTTGGAGGTATTCGGATACTTGAGGAGCATGCAGCACACAAATGATAATTGTACCAATCAGTTCTCCGTTAACACATGCAGCACACAAATGATAATTATATTAATCAGTTCTCCGTTAACACATACAGCACACAAATGATAATTATATTAATCAGTTCTCCGTTAACACATACAGCACACAAATGATAATTATATTAATCAGTTCTCCGTTAACACATGCAGCACACAAAAAGGCTAATTTTAGCTATCAGTTCTCCGTTAAAACGTTCGATGACGCTGACTGATAAACAGAGAGTGTTGTTGTTCCACAGTCAGTAGGAACTGTTCAACACCTCATCATGATGAAGCTCCTGTGTTTCCCACTAAATCTCTTGTCAGGTGATACAACATTCACACATTTCTTGTCGGAGAAGGAATCGTGGCAGAGTGAACTGGAATCAGGGTCGGACAACGTCGATTTCTGTGACACATGGAGAGTACTGCTAATTAAACGTTGGGAATAATGCAGTATGTTTAGTTTCGATATATTCGGCACTGATATTATGTTTTTTCTCTCCTATTCTTATTTTGACAACTTGAACTTGATATATTTTGGACAAAGTCTAGAGCTACAGATACGAACGTCGTCCTTTAAGTAGACTAGATTGCTTTATATATCTTTCTTGTGTCACTAGTTGTCCTGAGTTTTATGTCGGAATCAGTCCTATCGACACATCGATGCTGTTCCTACTTCTTTGATGTCACTTGACACAAAGTGTTACACCTGACAAGAAGTGTCACAGCTTAAACAAAGTGTCACGTGAACTTTTTCCAGTAGTTGTACTGCGTCCGTTTTCTGTCGTTCGTCCGTAAACAGTTTTCAGTCTCAACTTCATCAGGAACATTTAATGGCTAGCAGTGAGCAAGAATTGTCATTTATATGATACTCACCCACTAGAGATCCCATGAATACGGCGAAAAGGGGTCATATTGGCAGGTTGAAAAAAAATCTTAAGGCACGCACAAACGCAAAATCAAAACCTTTTCATGAAGTGTATGAAGGTGCTTCATCGAAATTGTACGTTGTACAAAGATATCAGATTTTTACTTGAAGAGAGGGACCAGGTTGAGGAATTCATGATTTTCAGCAAGATTAAATTTAATTGCCTTTGCTGATAAATCACATTTAAACTTACGAGAAAGAAAAGGTCGATTGCATATTTTGGATATGAATTACGTTAAAGGACCAAGAGACAGAGACTCGTGAGGTCGTATCGCAAATATTTACAAAATATTGACCCAGATATGTCAGAACCAAATACATGTTATCTTCATAGAGGATAGAGTCTAAGAGGGGCGGGGCTGAAAGAGGTTACATAATATAAAACGTGACAGTGGTGTTTTTCAAATCCGATGATTTCTGTAGTATACTACTGCCGATACTTGATAAGGAACCTGTATTGGTAGAGACAGGTTCCAGCGTAAGAATGATAGATTGTGGCCCTGCATTGACAGGGTTTCCTATGTATAATATAATAACATGACACACAGTTATCAATAATCTGTTTACGTTAAAACGTGAGTGACAGGTTTTCCCTCTCCGTGACTCCTCCCGTGTCCAGGTATCGTCTCACCGACAAACGTCAGTGTTCTGGAGACGTGTCTTATAAGTGATTGACAGGTTTTCCGTCTCCGTGACTCCTCCCATGTCCGGGTATCGTCTCACCGACAAACGTCAGTGTTCTGGCGACGTTATGTACTTGGGTGATACTACACACTTAAGAAAGTTATCGTACACACATCGGGTCAATTGTACAGCACGTGTGATCCGCCCCCGAGCACATCGGCCATGTGTTACCATACATACCATACCTTATCATAACCAACGTCGTTAGACACAGCACGTGAATTGTTATGATCATTATGTGTTACATACTGGACTCATTAGTAAACACATAGTGTCTCTACATACCAGTTGTAGATCATTTAGTCTATATATCATAGGGTTCGGGGTATGGGTACCTGACACTGGATTCATATTCTGTCATACGTGGAAAGGTCATATTGACAAGTACTTTGCTTATATTAATGCGAAAGAAAGGGTCATGCTTTATAATAGTCACAATAACGTATCTATATATACTTCTATCATACGTAGAAAACAATCATACCAACACGTATGATATCTATAAGGTAAAAAAAAATAGCTCACTTCTTAAGAAAGTATCAAAACACAAAAAAACACTAAAATGAAGCAAAAATTGCGTTATAAAACAGATCGGCATGTGTTTCGGATTTGAGTACCCGAGATAGGAACAATTTTGGTGTTTAGTCAATATGTCAGGTGTTTCGGCTTGAGTACCCGAGATAGAAACAATTTTGGTGTTTAGTCAATATGTCAGTAGTTTCGGGGTTTGAGTACCCGAGATTGGAACAATGTTGTTAAATACGTGAGTAAACTGATGATATCTACATGTATGTTATGTATCAGGTCATAACATACAGGTCACGATACAAGTAAATATTATTACAGGATTCATCCTGATATTTTAACAAAAATAAACAGTTTCGCTCCTGTCGAACGAATCATCACACTGTACATTGGGCAGCTGTAGTGTGTCTAGAAGGACACTTACATAGGTCATAATATCACACAGTATGAGGCGTCTAGAAGGACACTTACATAGGTCATGATATCACACAGTATGAGGCGTCTAGAAGTGCACTATCATATGTCATAATATCACACAGTATTAGGCGTCTAGAAGGACACTTACATAGGTCATAATATCACACAGTATGAGGCGTCTAGAAGTGCACTATCATAGGTCATAATATCACACATTATGAGGCGTCTAGAAGTGCACTTACAGAGGTTATAATATCACACAGTATGAGGCGTCTAGAAGTGCACTTATATAGGTCATAATATCACACATTATGAGGCGTCTAGAAGTGCACTATCATATGTCATAATATCACACAGTATGAGGCGTGTCTAGTGGTACACTTACATAGGTCATAATATCACACAGTGTGAGGCGTGTCTAGTAGTACACTTACATAGGTCATAATATCACAGTGTGAGGCGTGTCTAGTAGTACACTTACAAAGGTCATACTATCACACAGTATGAGGCGTCTAGAAGTGCACTTACAGAGGTCATAATACCACGCAGTATGAGGCGTCTAGAAGTGCATTAACACAGGGTTATAATACCACGCGGTATGAGACGTCTAGAAGTGCACTATCATAGGTCATAATGCCACGTAGTATGAGCCGTGTCTAGAAGTGCACTAACAGAGGTCATGATATCACGTATTATGAGGCGTGTCTAGAAGTTCACTAACAGAGGCCATGATATCACGTAGTATGAGGCGTGTCTAGAAGTTCACTAACAGAGGCCATGATATCACGTAGTATGAGGCGTGTCTAGAAGTGCGCTTACAGAGGTCATGATATCACACGGTATGAGGCGTCTAGAAGTGCACTTACAAAGGTCATAATACAACACAGTATGAGGCGCATTTAGAAGGGTTTAAAATACATTTAACATACCTGTAGTCCATGATACCGCGCATTTTAATGCATACTTCGGAACAGAAAGGTTATCACGTGACTGTTCCGTTGGTAACGATTTTGTTGCATGATTTAATTAGATATTTCGCCGGAAAAGTATTAATGTGACGAAAGTGATTGCTAAGCTTTCCTGTACTCATCAACAGCGTCTGTAACGCAAAATCTGAAAGGGCTTTTCAAGCGATTAATGATATTTATGCGCGGAGTATTAATACGGATTTATGGGAGATAATTAGGCACGCGATCCTACCTTATTTGGTAGAACAATGAACTCTTACATGCATGTCAGTAACCGTGATTGTTCACGTACATGATCAGTTGATATATATAACGCTTTTTCATTTCAGAATTCAAGGAAGCGTTTACGTTGTTTGACAAGGATGGCGACGGAACTATTACAACAAGTGAACTAGGAACGGTGATGCGATCCCTAGGTCAGAACCCCACGGAGTCCGAGCTCCAAGACATGATAAATGAGGTGGATGCGGACGGTAAGTCTGTCCGGATCGCTATTATATTTGATATTGTGTATACTCGATCTATTGTCTGTCTTCTGTCAAGGAAACGTGAACGTCCAACAAATTGAAACAAGTTTTGGGTCAATTGGGACACCTAAGCAAGGTAGATTGTTGACTACCTCTAGGGTGAATCATGAAACCTCTAGGGTAAAATGATGATCACGAAATTTATTAAGAGTTTGTTAAACTTCGGGTGTCTGGTTGAATAGAAAACATTGATACGGAAATTAATTTTGAAAAAAAAAATGAATTTCTGGTGAAGTTTTATTTTACATGCGCTACCTGAACACCAATAACAGTACAATTTGATCATTGTTACTGCAATGTACATAAGTAACATTGTACATAAGTAACATTGTACATAAGTAACATTGAAAATAAGAAACATTATACATAAGTAACGTTGTAGATAAGTAACATTGTACATGGAATTATACATAAGTCTCTGAGATAAGTAACATTGTACAGTGGAACATTGTAAGATAAGTAACATTGTACATGGAACATTATAGATAAGTAACATTGTACAATAACGGTTGTGAGATAAGTAACATTGTACATGGAGTCGGTTGAGATAAGTAACATTGTACAATGGAATCGGTCTCTGAGATAAGTAACATTGTACAATGGAATCGGTCTCTGAGATAACTAACATTGTACTGAGGAATCGGTCTCTGAGATAAGTAACATTGTACAATGGAATCGGTCTCTGAGATAAGTAACATTGTACAGTGGAATCGGTCAGTAACATAACATTGTACATGGAAGTAACATCTCTGTAATAAGTAACATTGTACATGGAATCGGTCTCTGAGTAACATAACATTGTACATTGTACATAAGTAACATTGTACATGAGATAATATAAGTAACATTGTACATGGAATAAGTCTCTGAGATAACTAAGTAACATTGTACATAAGTAACATTATACATAAGTAACATTGAGATAACTAACATTGTACATGGAATCGGTCATTGTAATAAGTAACATTATACATAAGTGACATTGTATATAAGTAACATTATAAATAAGTAACATTATACATAAGTGACATTGTATATAAGTAACATTATAAATAAGTAACATTGTACAGGAATAACATCTACTGAGTAACATAAGTGAGACATTGAGATACCAGTAACATTGTACAAGTAACATTAGAATATAAGTATTGACATACAGTGGAATACAGTCCAGATAGTAACATTGTACAGTGGATATTGTTAAGATAAGTAACATTGTACATGTGGAATCGGTCCACCAGATAAGTAACATTGTACAGACCGGAAGCGATCGGTCTCTGATTTAACTAACATTGTACAGTGGATACTCGGTCTCTAGATACAACTTCCTGAAGTACAGTGGAGTCGAAAGGATCACTGTAGATAAGTAAGATTGTACAGTGGACCGTCGGTCTAAAGGAAGTGAGATTTCCAGTACAACAAGGACATTTACAGTGGAGCGGTCAGAGATAAGTAACATTGTTACTGTACTATCCCTAGGTAGTAGTTTTAAGACATAATGTACACTAGGGACAATACCATAAAGTTGGTGATATTCGCGGAGAATTCGATTTCGCAGAGAACATTCTACAGTGAATGAAAATCTCAGATCTGTTATGTCTGTATACATGGACACCAGTTCACAGATATTCCCGAAATTTCATAGGTTAACTAGGTCAAAGCGGGACAAACCGCGAAATATTTCCCCATATACAGTATTTCTAAGGCTAATTTTTCAGAAGTTATGAACAAAATTTCATCTGAAACTTTTAAAGAGAAGACGTGATCAATGTCTTAACATATAAGTCGTATTTTTTGGACAGTCGAGAACCAGGGCGTTGTTGTTGGGCGTGGATTTGTCTTTCCACCTGATTCAGGTGTAAGCGTGGTGGGTATTGATCAATATGTTTTAAAATGATATGATAGATACACATACTTATTACACGCTTTGTTTTTTTTTACCTGAACAAAATCAGAATGTAGTAAATGTTCGTTTATATATCAAATGTCACACCAAGAAATCAATATACTGAAACAAAACATTTGAAGATGTTTATATATCAAATGTCACACCAAGAAATCAATATATTGAAACAAAACATTTGAAGATGTTTATATATCAAATGTCACATCAAGAAATCAATATATTGAAACAAAACATTTGAAGATAACATCAGAGGGGAGTATTTAGAATCGTTTTCGTCATTTTCTTTTATTTATTCACAACATCAAATTCAACTAAAATTCAACTATTTCGTTTTTCAATTTGAACGACGTTCTCACAAACGTATGTCAATATGTTCATTCTGAACTTTTACTGTCTAACGAACCGTTCAGACAGAAGTCTGAGATGACTGACGAGATGACGATAATGAACAAGGCAACACACATAATCCGTACATTTTGCGTAATGGATCAAACAAGAAATTTTGAAAATAACTTAAAGTTAAGAATCTGTAGACAGTGTTAATTTTTATGACGTCAACGTCTTAATTACGGGAAAGTATGCTTTGATGGACAGCACACTTGAATATTACATATGTTGATAAAGGCAAACAGAAAAAGAAACATTATATATACTGGTAGACAGCTGCTATTGCGCCTATCCTAAACAGGACGATATCTAGTAATAGAATGAGTACATTTTGATGCTAGCAGTAGAGTGAGTACATTGTGATGGTAGCAGTAGAGTGAGTACATTGTGATGGTAGCAGTAGAGTGAGTACATTGTGATGGTAGCAGTAGAGTGAGTATATTGTGATGGTAGCAGTAGAGTGAGGACATTGTGATGGTAGCAGTAGAGTGAGTACATTGTGATGCTAGCAGTAGAGTGAGTACATTGTGATGTTAGCAGTAGAGTGAGTACATTGTGATGGTAGCAGTAGAGTGAGTACATTGTGATGGTAGCAGTAGAGTGAGTACATTGTGATGGTAGCAGTAGAGTGAGTACATCGTGATGTTAGCAGTGGAGTGAGTACATTGTGATGGTAGCAGTAGAGTGAGTATATTGCGATGCTAGTAATAGAGTCAGTACATTGTGATGCTAGCAGTGGAGTGAGTACATTGTGATGCTAACAGTAGAGTTAGTTCTAGGCGATGTTCAGTTATATTCCCTGTTATGTTTTGGTTAAAAGAGTTAGCGTTTTACGGACCAATACAGACCAACTGCTGTGGGCTAGGTAAGTGTTTATGGGGTAGGTAAGTAAGTAGCTTTAACTGCTGCTCGGTTTGGTGAATTTTGGAAGATTTTTTTTCTGAAAGAGATGCCTCGAATAATGGTATCAGCAAATTAAGCATTGAGGACAACACAATTAGCCAAATAACGATGTTTTGTAGCTGTGTGTTATTGACTCGGTTGTTATGGTGTGTGAGGTGTGGTAGTATACATGGCCAGCCTAGTGCTGATTACACATGGAAACATCTTAATGCTAGCTAACAGCTGCTATGATTAAAGGCTACTGTTTGCATTTATTTACTAACATGTCAAAACAGTATGAATACTCAATAACTGGATACCATCATGACCTCAAGGATTTAGTAGCACATACGTGCGAGGATGATCAGTTACAATCTATTTTTTATTATAAGAGTAAATAAATTGTTAATGCTTTGATGAAAAAAAAGATTGGATCAAAACATGATGTATTTTTACGAAAATTATTTATCAAGAGTTCATCATCTCTCACAAATAAATTTTAGAACTTGAATGTTTTCTGAATGAGAAGCGGGAAAAGAGTAAACACTAACATACATCACAGATGTATATATACAGGATAGATGGAGACAAAAAACAACGAGAAATCACACAAGTACAAATAACCCAACAATCTGCTGCATAAACACTGTCTGCTATTTAATCTGTTTATGTTTTTGCTATGCGTGTATTGTTTTCCTATCTTGAATTTAAAATGTATATGAATTACGGAAAATGTACTGTCTTGTTGACACTTAAGGTTTTTAATTGTTGGTTCTCTCAATTAGTTAACTGAATAAGTTATTTTTGTGATGTCGATGCAGTCTTAAGAACGTTTGTATTTAGAGGGAAACCACTGTCTTTATTCAAGATCAATAACAATGTCAAGTATTGACTCCATTTCCGGTGTTTTAGGGTTTACATGTCGTAAGGTGTTTATCTATCAATTTTAGGGTAATAATAATTGTTTATATCTGTCACTACTTTTAAGCACAGTCACTTTTTTGAAATATTGGATGTATTGCCGCTAGACAGTGTACAGATTATATGATTATATATCAGTAGAACTACACACAGAGTGTCGGAGCTTGTCCTCAGAGTCATTTTTGTGGTCATCTGTAGGTAACGGCACCATAGACTTTGAGGAATTCCTACATATGATGGCGAGGAAGATGAAGGAGACAGACAGCGAGGAAGACCTTCGGGAAGCCTTCCGAGTGTTCGATAAAGACGGAAATGGCTACATCAGTGCTGCGGAACTTCGCCACGTGATGACAAATCTAGGAGAAAAGCTGACAGATGAAGAGGTTGACGAGATGATCAAGGAGGCAGACTTAGATGGTGACGGGATGGTGAATTACGAAGGTATCACGTACTTATTCTTGTTATCTGTTTCTTAAATAGTAGCTCCGTTATTATGTCTAATATAATAACAATGAACTCCTAAACTAACAAAGAGTTATCTAAAATCTCACTGCATGGGGTTTATATCGCAACTTTGTAATCGATACTAATGTCTTACCATGGATGCGTGTGATTTGAAACTTTCTAATTCTAAAATTGAAACTAATAACGACATAACGTCTAATATCATTTCCTCTTTCTACTGTTGTCTTGACAGCTTTGACACGGTGCTGCTTTATTTTCAGATTTTATGGGCTATACCACTGAATTACTTACCCAGATAAAGTGAAGGCGGTACCATACAACTGTAGAACACACTACAGTGTAACACTCCGTAGTTAAGCTCTTCAGCAACTGGACATGCTAAGATATGTTACTTCGGGTAATGTGTTTATAGTTCTCTGCCATGTCGAAGGTGTAAGACATCCTTTGGGTGTGTCGACACATACTTTTTGTGATAACTAAAGGATTGAGGGATCTGTCTTTCAGAACATTGTGCAATTCGAACTTACGATTATCAACATATTTTATATATAGTTTGAGTAAGAGGCACTGACGTCATATATAGTTTGAGTAAGAGGCCCTGACGTCACGGTGTGATTCGATGATGGTTACAACGTAAAACGTTAGTTGACTAGTCGATGCCCATGCAGAGGATATGATGGTACTGAAAAGTAAGACGAAAAGTATCCGTGGCCACAATATATATATAGATTTAGTGGTCACCATGTAACAATGGGTGGTTGTCATGGAGACGATATCAATAGTGACTGTATATTTGGCCACAGTATAGATGTAGTGAAAGTGGTTACCTTGTAAACGGTTGGTAGTAGTTGCTATGGAGACAAAGGTTGGTTACTCTACAATAGATAGCTGATATTTATAGATACATGTGATGGTATTGTTGATGGATGAGATAAGAAACGCATGTTGACTCCATTTTTATACTGTCGAACTTATTTATTTACATTTGATACTTTTTCACACCATTTTACATGTGGATTTATGTCAATCTTTCCTAAATCAAAATGTATATATTTATGTGTAACCAAAATGATAGCACTGTAAATACAAAGAATTGTTATATCGAGTATTTTGTTGGAGGTATTTTTGTAGATGATTGTAAGACTCACTTGTATAGGTAATCTATATACTGTAGTCACTGAAATCTAATGGTGCTTGTATAATAGCTGCACGTGCTTCATTTAAAGAAAAATTCGTTTTATATTACACTTTACTTGTCCAATAAATGTTTCCACTCAGCCAAATCATGTTGTATAAACAATCATGGCACTGTTCAACAAAGTTATATTGTCGAAATGGCTTATCTATACCCTACAAAGTCAGTTTCTATCGTACTTATTGTATAGTCTTTAAAATAAACAGTAAAACAAAAGCAACAGGGTAACATCGAATTCATCTGTTCAAATGATATTTAACTTCACTTACCACATCTCTTACACAAGTATACCTACTGAGATGTATCAAATTACCGCACTCTTCATGTATTCCGAGTTGATCTCTTGTCATCCATTTCCACACTCTTATGAATTCTGAGTTGTTTTTTGTGCCCCTTTACCGCACTCGTCATGTATTCCGAGTTGATCTCTAGTACCCGTTTTCCGCACTGTACATGTGCTCTAGGGTGTTTTGTTCTCTTCTAACCCTTTACAACACTATTCCTGTACTATGAGTTTTTCTGTTGTATCCGTTTACCGCACTCGTCATGTGTTCTGAGTTGTTTTCTTGTACCCGTTTACCGCACTCGTCATGTATTCTGAGTTGTTATCTTGTGCCCTTTTACCGCACTCTTCATTTATTCTGAGTTTTTACTTGTCTCCCTTTACCGCACTCTTCATGTACTCTGAGGCGTTCTGTTGTACCCATTTACCGCACTCTTCATATACTCTGAGGCGTTCTGTTGTACCCATTTACCGCACTCGTCATGTATTCTGAGTTGTTTTCTTGTGCCCTTTTACCGCACTCGTCATGTCTTCTGAGTTGTTATCTTGTGCCCGTTTACCGCACTCGTCATGTCTTCTGAGTTGTTATCTTGTGCCCTTTTACCGCACTCGTCATGTCTTCTGAGTTGTTATCTTGTGCCCGTTTACCGCACTCGTCATTAATTCTGAGTTTTTACTTGTCTCCCTTTACCGCACTCGTCATTTATTCTGAGTTGTTATCTTGTGCCCTTTTACCGCACTCGTCATGTCTTCTGAGTTGTTATCTTGTGCCCGTTTACCGCACTCGTCATTTATTATGAGTTTTTACTTGTCTCCCTTTACCGCACTCGTCATTTATTCTGAGTTTTTACTTGTCTCCCTTTACCGCACTCGTCATTTATTCTGAGTTGTTATCTTGTGCCCTTTTACCGCACTCGTCATGTATTCTGAGTTGTTTTCTTGTGCCCTTCACCACTCTCGTCATGTATTCTGAGCTGTTTTCTTTTACCCGTTTTCCGCACTGTACATGTGTTCTTTTTTTTATAATGCATTGACGTACTGTAATTTTTTTTCTAACAATTCTGTTCATTTTTACCCACGGTATTGTACTTAATGGTAAAGTTTCTAGAACGGACCCCATCACCATATTGCACATTTTTAGAACGTATATCATTATTAATTAATTAACATACTAATATCAATGGCATGGCAATGCTATAGCGAAAAAAGATTTAAAAAGGTTACAACAACATGCATGCATCACTGTTACCCTGGTCATGGAAAAATATACCACTACCGGGGTAAACACACTACGATGAGAAGAAAGTCGTCTAGCTGCCAATTAAATCCAAGGAATATAAGTTCATGAAGAGTTACATGTATGTGTGTCAGACGTTATAGCAGTGATTTCCACTTAAAACATTTTGTTGATAATAGCCTTGTTTAATGCCTTGAGTAAAGCCTTGGGTAAAGTCTTGGGTAAAGCCTTGGGTATAGCCTTGTTTAAAGCCTTGGGTAAAACTTTGGGTATAGCTTTGAGTAAAGCCTTGGGCTAAGTCTTGGGTAAAGTCTTGGGTAAAGCCTTGGGTATAGCCTTGTTTAAAGCATTGGGTAAAACTTTGGGTATAGCCTTGAGTAAAGCCTTGGGCAAAGTCTTGGGTAAAGTCTTGGGTAAAGCCTTGGATATAGCCTTGTTTAAAGCCTTGGGTAAAACTTTGGGTATAGCCTTGAGTAAAGCCTTGGGCAAAGTCTTGGGTAAAGTCTTGGGTAAAGCCTTGGATATAGCCTTGTTTAAAGCCTTGGGTAAAACTTTGGGTATAGCCTTGTTTAAAGCCTTGAGTAAAGCCTTGGGTAAAGTCTTGGGTAAAGCCTTGGGTATAGCCTTGTTTAAAGCCTTGGGTAAAACTTTGGGTATAGCCTTGAGTAAAGCCTTGGACAAAGTCTTGGGTAAAACTTTGGGTAAAGTCTTGGGTAAAGTCTTGGGTAAAACCTTGAGTAAAGCCTTGGACAAAGTCTTGGGTAAAACTTTGGGTAAAGTCTTGGGTAAAGTCCGGGGTAAAACCTTGGGCAAAGTCTTGGGTAAAGTCTTGAGTAAATTATTGTGTATAGTTAACTCTTGTCCATATGACATAGTAGTTATTATGGAATCCATAGATAAACCCATGATTATATGATTATATTGGGTAGATGTAACCAAACTTACGATATGTATATATTACGGTCCGGTTACGTGATCACGTGTCTATGTCTATTTCTGTCAGTCAGACTATTTATCAGTCTGTATGTGTTTTGTTTTCCTTTTCATGTATTTTGTCGTACTGTATTCAACCTAGACTTTCAACTTCCTAATAGAATATACCAGACTATCACTTATTTTATACCAGAGTATCACATGGTTTATACCAGACTATCACTTATTTTATACCAGAGTATCACGTAGTTTATACCACAGTATCACTGATTAACATTTAAACTATTCCTTAACTTCACCAGCACGAGGGAAATCACACATTTTCTTCTTTTTTTTTCAAGCTACCACAAGTGAACCAAACCTAGGAAATCCATGTTTTTTTTCCTATGATAAGATACTCGTATTCGTGGTTTCTTACCAACACGACGAGTATAGATATGTATTGCCCATTTGTCAAATAGCTATAGGTCACCCTATCCTATTGTAAAATAGCTATGTTTCGCCCCTAAGCTGTGAAACTACAGGCAGTAGTCTCCCCTTACCAAACAGCGCGAGGATAATATATATTATGCTATTGTCAAATAGCTATGTTTCGCCCCTAAACTGTGAAACTACAGGCAGTGGTTTCCCCTTACAAAACAGCGCGAGGATAATATATATTATGCTATTGTCAAATAACTATGTTTCGCCCCTAAGCTTTGAAACTACAGGCAGTAGTCTCCCCTTACCAAACAGCGCGAGGATAATATATATTATGCTATTGTCAAATAACTATGGGTCGCCCCTATGCTGTGATACTACAGGCAGTAGTCTCCCCTTACCAAACAGCGCGAGGATAATATATATTATGCTATTGTCAAATAACTATGGGTCGCCCCTATGCTGTGATACTACAGGCAGTAGTCTCCCCTTACCAAACAGCGCGAGGATAATATATATTATGCTATTGTCAAATAACTATGGGTCGCCCCTATGCTGTGATACTACAGGCAGTAGTCTCCCCTTACCAAACAGCGCGAGGATAATATATATTATGCTATTGTCAAATAACTATGGGTCGCCCCTATGCTGTGATACTACAGGCAACTCCCCTTACCAAACAGCGCGAGGATAATATATATTATGCTATTGTCAAATAACTATGGGTCGCCCCTATGCTGTGATACTACAGGCAGTAGTCTCCCCTTACCAAACAGCGCGAGGATAATATATATTATGCTATTGTCAAATAACTATGGGTCGCCCCTATGCTGTGATACTACAGGCAGTAGTCTCCCATTTGCCAAAGTTTGTCAAGGTTACATATTTTGTATTCTGCTTCAGTGACTTTTCATCATCAAATGTGCAGTGTTTATGACCGTAAATGTCTGTCGTTATAGCACCATGGCAAAGTAAATTGTGAACACTGATTGAGTATGGGTAGATTAAACACGGAATGGACGTGTTGACTCGGTTCTAGAATCAGAGATAACACACTGGACTGGTCGCGTAAACTTGATAAAAATATCTCATCTAATGTAACAAAAATGTGACCATCTATTGTGTATCGTAGTGTAACACATTGTAACACGTGTAACTACCTGATATTATCACTTATACCAGCCAGTTAATGACTGATGAGAGATTCTGTGTGTCTAGTATACACTTATAAAGATAACGCCTCATTCTCACACTGAAATGATGGTCACAGATAATCGATGATGGAGATAGCGAAGTTACGATAAAAACAATTCTTTACCGTTGCATTGTTTTACATATAGATGTTACTGGATTTATTGGTCATCAAAACGGTATAAATCATCTTAAAAGCAATATTATGGGCAAGTAGTGATAGTCTACAAAACACACGCATTCCCTTGTATGGTACATACAAGGTTATGTTGGGTAGTCTTCAAAATACACGCATGACTTTGTATGGTAAATAGAAGGATAAGTTGGGTAGTTAACATAACACACTCATTACTTTGTATGGTACATACAGGGATATGTTGGGTAGTTAACATAACACACTCATTACTTTGTATGGTACATACAGGGATATGTTGGGTAGTTAACATAACACACTCATTACTTTGTATGATACATACAGGGATATGTTGGGTAGTTAACATAACACACTCATTACTTTGTATGGTACATACAGGGATATGTTGGGTAGTTAACATAACACACTCATTACTTTGTATGGCACATACAAGGATATATTTGGTAGACAACATAACACACTCATTACTTTGTATGGTACATACAGGGATATGTTGGGTAGACAACATAACACACTCATTACTTTGTATGGTACATACAGGGATATTTTGGGTAGTTAACATAACACACTCATTACTTTGTATGGTACATACAGGGATATGTTGGGTAGTTAACATAACCCACTCATTACTTTGTATGATACATACAGGGATATGTTGGGTAGTTAACATAACACACTCATTACTTTGTATGGTACATACAGGGATATGTTGGGTAGTTAACATAACACACTCATTACTTTGTATGGCACATACAAGGATATATTTGGTAGACAACATAACACACTCATTACTTTGTATGGTACATACAGGGATATGTTGGGTAGACAACATAACACACTCATTACTTTGTATGGTACATACAGGGATATTTTGGGTAGTTAACATAACACACTCATTACTTTGTATGGTACATACAGGGATATGTTGGGTAGTTAACATAACACACTCATTACTTTGTATGATACATACAGGGATATGTTGGGTAGTTAACATAACACACTCATTACTTTGTATGGTACATACAGGGATATGTTGGGTAGTTAACATAACACACTCATTACTTTGTATGGCACATACAAGGATATATTTGGTAGACAACATAACACACTCATTACTTTGTATGGTACATACAGGGATATGTTGGGTAGACAACATAACACACTCATTACTTTGTATGGTACATACAGGGATATTTTGGGTAGTTAACATAACACACTCATTACTTTGTATGGTACATACAGGGATATGTTGGGTAGTTAACATAACACACTCATTACTTTGAATGGTACATACAGGGATATGTTGGGTAGTTAACATAACACACTCATTACTTTGTATGGTACATACAGGGATATGTTGGGTAGTTAACATAACACACTCATTACTTTGTATGGCACATACAAGGATATATTTGGTAGACAACATAACACACTCATTACTTTGTATGGTACATACAGGGATATGTTGGGTAGACAACATAACACACTCATTACTTTGTATGGTACATACAGGGATATTTTGGGTAGTTAACATAACACACTCATTACTTTGTATGGTACATACAGGGATATGTTGGGTAGTTAACATAACACACTCATTACTTTGTATGATACATACAGGGATATGTTGGGTAGTTAACATAACACACTCATTACTTTGTATGGTACATACAGGGATATGTTGGGTAGTTAACATAACACACTCATTACTTTGTATGGCACATACAAGGATATATTTGGTAGACAACATAACACACTCATTACTTTGTATGGTACATACAGGTATATGTTGGGTAGACAACATAACACACTCATTACTTTGTATGGTACATACAGGGATATGTTGGGCAGTTAACATAACACACTCATTACTTTGAATGGTACATACAGGGATATGTTGGGTAGACAACATAACACACTCATTACTTTGTATGGTACATACAGGGATATGTTGGGTAGTTAACATAACACACTCATTACTTTGTATGGTACATACAGGGATATGTTGGGTAGACAACATAACACACTCATTACTTTGTATGGTACATACAGGGATATGTTGGGTAGTTAACATAACACACTCATTACTTTGTATGGCACATACAAGGATATGTTGGGTAGACAAATTAACACTCTCATTCCCTTATATGGAACATAAATTTGTCAGCATTCTCTGTACACATGTTACTACTGCCTTTTGACAAGTTCTCGAAGTTACGGTTAATTAACACGATTGGTTTTATTTTATCTCGACTAACTATTTGACTGGTTGGATGATGAGATTGCTAATCTATTTGTGACATCGGTTTTCAGAATTTGTTACCATGATGTCAATAATCTCATGATGACTGGACAAGTTTTGATTGGACAGATGCAGCAGAAGGATTAAATCCGCGGATCTCATCACATTGTCATTGTGATGCCTTTCATAACATGATTGGCCTCGAGGTAGTGGTTGTTATGAAACAGGAGAAACATGTCTGTCTGTCTGTCTGTCTGTCTGTCTGTAACACCTTACTGATTCAAACGTTTTATCTTTGAAGTGATCATAGAAAGCCAGCTTTGCTGGTTATATTATTCGTCCATTGATTCACTGTTAATTAAACCTTTTAACTTTATGGTAATTTACAAAGCATGCATTTCAATATAAAGTATTTCTCCAAAATAATTGCTATGTAAAATCTCATTGATTTTATTTCTTTTTTTCTCTTTTTCTCAATATAAAGTATATTGATTATTAACAAAATGCCATATCGTGTGATGAATCATTGTAAAACAAAATCATATCTATATACAGTTTATGTATATTTATAACAGGTCATTAAATATTGTACTATCCCATATGTGTTGATGTGTTTTTATTACAAAAATAGTAAGCATAAATACTTAAGTTCTAGAAATATATATACTCTGACCACTCACCGTAGTAATACTCCTCGAACTGTCAGTTCTACTCTAACCTCTGACTTCTGACCTCTCACCGTAGTAATACTCCTCGAACTGTCAGTTCTACTCTGAACTCTCACCGTAGTAATACTCCTCGAACTGTCAGTTCTACTCTGAACTCTCACCGTAGTAATACTCCTCGAACTGTCAGTTCTACTCTGACCTCTCACCGTAGTAATACTCATCGAACTGTCAGTTCTACTCTAACCTCTGACTTCTGACCTCTCACCGTAGTAATACTCCTCGAACTGTCAGTTCTACTCTGACCTCTCACCGTAGTAATACTCCTCGAACTGTCAGTTCTACTCTGAACTCTCACCGTAGTAATACTCCTCGAACTGTCAGTTCTACTCTGAACTCTCACCGTAGTAATACTCCTCGAACTGTCAGTTCTACTCTGAACTCTCTCAACTGTCAGTTCTACTCTAACTCTCACTCCTGTCTCTCGAACTGTTCTACTCTAACCTCTGACTTCTGACCTCTCACCGTAGTAATACTCCTCGAACTGTCAGTTCTACTCTGACCTCTCACCGTAGTAATACTCCTCGAACTGTCAGTTCTACTCTGACCTCTCACCGTAGTAATACTCCTCGAACTGTCAGTTCTACTCTGAACTCTCACCGTAGTAATACTCCTCGAACTGTCAGTTCTACTCTGACCTCTCACCGTAGTAATACTCCTCGAACTGTCAGTTCTACTCTGACCTCTCACCGTAGTAATACTCCTCGAACTGTCAGTTCTACTCTGACCTCTCACCGTAGTAATACTCATCGAACTGTCAGTTCTACTCTGACCTCTCACCGTACTAATACTCCTCGAACTGTCAGTTCTACTCTGACCTCTCACCGTAGTAATACTCCTCGAACTGTCAGTTCTACTCTGAACTCTCACCGTAGTAATACTCCTCGAACTGTCAATACTACTCAGTTCTACTCTGACCTCTCACCGTCTCTGAACTCTCACCGTAGTAATACTCCTCGAACTGTCAGTTCTACTCTGACCTCTCACCGTAGTAATACTCATCGAACTGTCAGTTCTACTCTAACCTCTCACCTCTCACCGTAGTAATACTCCTCGAACTGTCAGTTCTACTCTGACCTCTCACCGTAGTAATACTCCTCGAACAGTCAGTAGTAATACTCCTCGAACTGTCAGTTCTACTCTGAACTCTCACCGTAGTAATACTCATCGAACTGTCAGTTCTACTCTGAACTCTCACCGTAGTAATACTCATCGAACTGTCAGTTCTACTCTAACCTCTGACCTCTCACCGTAGTAATACTCCTCGAACTGTCAGTTCTACTCTGAACTCTCACCGTAGTAATACTCCTCGAACTGTCAGTTCTACTCTGACCTCTCACCGTAGTAATACTCCTCGAACTGTCAGTTCTACTCTGACCTCTCACCGTAGTAATACTCCTCAGACTGTCAGTTCTACTCTGACCTCTCACCGTAGTAATACTCCTCGAACTGTCAGTTCTACTCTGACCTCTCACCGTAGTAATACTCCTCGAACTGTCAGTTCTACTCTGACCTCTCACCGTAGTAATACTCATCGAACTGTCAGTTCTACTCTAACCTCTGACGTCTGACCTCTCACCGTAGTACTACTCGAACTGTCAGTTCTACTCTGACCTCTCACCGTAGTAATACTCCTCGAACTGTCAGTTCTACTCTAACCTCTGACGTCCGACCTCTCACCGTAGTAATACTCCTCGAACTGTCAGTTCTACTCTGACCTCTCACCGTAGTAATACTCGAACTGTCAGTTCTACTCTGAACTCTCACCGTAGTAATACTCCTCGAACTGTCAGTTCTACTCTGACCTCTCACCGTAGTAATACTCATCGAACTGTCAGTTCTACTCTAACCTCTCACCCTAGTAATACTCCTCGATCTGTCAGTTGTTCTCTGACCTCACACCGTACTAATACTACTCGAACTGTCAGTTCTACTCTGACCTCTCACCGTAGTAATACTCATCGAACTGTCAGTTCTACTCTGAACTCTCACCGTAGTAATACTCATCGAACTGTCAGTTCTACTCTAACCTCTGACCTCTCACCGTAGTAATACTCCTCGAACTGTCAGTTCTACTCTGACCTCTCACCGTAGTAATACTCCTTTAACTATCAGTTCTAACTTTCAGTTCTACTCTGAACTCTCACCGTAGTAATACTCCTCGAACTGTCAGTTCTACTCTGACCTCTCACCGTAGTAATACTCCTCGAACTGTCAGTTCTACTCTGAACTCTCACCGTAGTAATACTCCTCGAACTGTCAGTTCTACTCTAACCTCTGACTTCTGACCTCTCACCGTAGTAATACTCCTCGAACTGTCAGTTCTACTCTGAACTCTCACCGTAGTAATACTCCTCGAACTGTCAGTTCTACTCTGACCTCTCACCGTAGTAATACTCCTCGAACTGTCAGTTCTACTCTGAACTCTCACCGTAGTAATGCTCCTCGAACTGTCAGTTCTACTCTGACCTCTCACCGTAGTAATACTCATCGAACTGTCAGTTCTACTCTAACCTCTGACTTCTGACCTCTCACCGTAGTAATACTCCTCGAACTGTCAGTTCTACTCTGACCTCTCACCGTAGTAATACTCCTTGAACTATCAGTTCTACTCTGACCTCTGACCGTAGTAATACTCCTCAACTTTCAATTCTACTCTAACCTCTGACCTCTCACCGTAGTAATACTCCTGGAACTCTCAGTTCTACTCTGACCTCTCACCGTAGTAATGCTCCTCAAACTGTCAGGTCTACTCTAACCTTTGAACTCTCACCGTAGTAATACTCTTGAAACTGTCAATTCTTGTCTAACCTCTGAACTCTCATCGTGGTAATGCTCCTCAAACTTTCAGTACTACTCTAACCTCTGACCGTAGTAATACTCCTCAAAAATGTCTGTACTGCTCTAACCTCTGACCTCTCACCGTAGTAATACTCCTCGAACTGTCAGTTCTACTCTAACCTCTGACTTCTGACCTCTCACCGTAGTAATACGTATGTCTTGGTGTGTCAGTTAACTTGCTGAAATACCAATCAATCCTAATCACATATTGGAATATTTTATTGTTTAATGTGTATTTACAATATAGTGTGAACACGTTACTTATCTTTATACTAACGGGTGATTATACGAAATGGATTACTGGTAATGGCGATTCATTCTAGTAACAGACATTCTATCATATCATGCCAATTTATGTCGATCGAATAAAGGAAATTGTACAGACATTACCCCAGCAACTTGCCAATAGTCTTTTCAAACACACATACACTACAGTCAATGAAGTCTTTACATGGACGGATTCTAATTGGTTTTCATCCTAATGCGATGCTTTCAAGGCAATCAACGTTACGGCGTTGACATCTCTGTGAAACAATCATCCTCGGCCGTATTCTGTAGCTTCGGGGAAGATTGGTTTTCATCTGCACAACTTGGGCCTGGCTCCTCTGGGGATAAAAGAACAATATGATAGCGAGAAGATGAAACAACATTCCAACAGACTATAGATCTATATCATTGAAGTACATTTCTGAATGTATTGGCTACCCGGAGAGAGACGTAAACGACAGTCATAACGAAGGAGTACCCACTCTTATCTGCAAATTCTACTGACAAAAGGATGTATAACTACCCATATAGATGGACATGACAGACAAAACAATATAATACCTACCCGGATGTACGGAAACCGCAGACAACACAATATAATATCTACCCGGGTGTACGGATATGACAGACAAAAAATATAATATCTACCCGGATGTACGTAAACCGCAGACAACACAATATAATACCTACCCGGGTATACGGAAACCGCGGACAAAACCATTCGTCTGCACAGGAGATTCTTGGCAGCATGGCGGAAACATTCGTTGAAGCCTATGTATACTAACGGGTAAACACAACTACTGAAGTAAGCAATGTAGAACGAGGCATAGGTCAGCGCATGTATACCCTCCGGTACCTAGGAGAATAAGTACAATATATAGTTATCACAGGTGTGTACACCCTAGGAGAATAAGTACAATATATAGTTATCACAGGTGTGTACACCCTCCTGTACCTAGGAGAATAAGTACAATATATGGTTATCACAGGTGTGTACACCCTCCGGTACCTAGGAGAAACAGTACAATATATGGTTATCACAGGTGTGTACACCCTCCGGTACCTAGGAGAAAAAGTACAATATATAGTTATCACAGGTGTGTACACCCTTCTGTACCTAGGAGAAAAAGCGCAATATATAGTTATCACAGGTGTGTACACCCTTCGGTTACAAAGAGAAACAGTACAATATATAGTTATCACAGGTGTGTACACCCTTCGGTACCTAGGAGAAAAAGTACAATATATAGTTATCACAGGTGTGTACACCCTTCGGTACCTAGGAGAAAAAGTACAATATATAGTTATCACAGGTGTGTACACCCTTCGGTTACAAAGAGAAACAGTACAATATATAGTTATCACAGGTGTGTACACCCTTCGGTTACAAAGAGAAACAGTACAATATATAGTTATCACAGGTGTGTACACCCTTCTGTACCTAGGAGAAAAAGTACAATATATAGTTATCACAGGTGTGTACACCCTTCTGTACCTAGGAGAAAAAGTACAATATATAGTTATCACAGGTGTGTACACCCTTCTGTACCTAGGTAAATAAGTACAATATATAGTTATCACAGGTGTGTACACCCTTCGGTACCTAGGAGAAAAAGTACAATATATAGTTATCACAGGTGTGTATACCCTTCTGTACCTAGGAGAATAAGTACAATATATAGTTATCACAGGTGTGTACACCCTTCGGTACCTAGGAGAAACAGTACAATATATAGTTATCACAGGTGTGTATACCCTTCGGTTACAAAGAGAAAAAGTACAATATATAGTTATCACAGGTGTGTACACCCTTCTGTACCTAGGAGAAAATGTACAATATATAGTTATCACAGGTGTGTATACCCTTCTGTACCTAGGAGAAACAGTACAATATATAGTTATCACAGGTGTGTACACCCTTCTGTACCTAGGATATATATAGTTATCACAGGTGTGTACACCCTTCTGTACCTAGGAGAAAAAGTGCAATATATAGTTATCACAGGTGTGTACACCCTTCTGTACCTAGGAGAAAAAGTACAATATATAGTTATCACAGGTGTGTATACCCTTCTGTACCTAGGAGAAACAGTACAATATATAGTTATCACAGGTGTGTACACCCTTCTGTACCTAGGAGAAACAGTACAATATATAGTTATCACAGGTGTGTACACCCTTCTGTACCTAGGAGAAAAAGTACAATATATAGTTATCACAGGTGTGTACACCCTTCTGTACCTAGGAGAAAAAGTACAATATATAGTTATCACAGGTGTGTACACCCTTCTGTACCTAGGAGAATAAGTACAATATATAGTTATCACAGGTGTGTACACCCTTCTGTACCTAGGAGAAAAAGTACAATATATAGTTATCACAGGTGTGTACACCCTTCTGTACCTAGGAGAAAAAGTGCAATATATAGTTATCACAGGTGTGTACACCCTTCTGTACCTAGGAGAAAAAGTACAATATATAGTTATCACAGGTGTGTACACCCTTCTGTACCTAGGAGAATAAGTACAATATATAGTTATCACAGGTGTGTACACCCTTCTGTACCTAGGAGAAAAAGTACAATATATAGTTATCACAGGTGTGTACACCCTTCGGTTACAAAGAGAAACAGTACAATATATAGTTATCACAGGTGTGTATACCCTTCTGTACCTAGGAGAATAAGTACAATATATAGTTATCACAGGTGTGTACACCCTTCTGTACCTAGGTAAATAAGTACAATATATAGTTATCACAGGTGTGTACATAGTTATCACAGGTGTGTACACCCTTCTGCACCTAGGAGAAAAAGTGCAATATATAGTTATCACAGGTGTGTACACCCTTCTGTACCTAGGAGAAAAAGTACAATATATAGTTATCAATATATAGTTATCACAGGTGTGTACACCCTTCTGTACCTAGGAGAAAAAGTATATAGTTATCACAGGTGTGTACAATATATATATAGTTATCACAGGTGTGTACACCCTTCGGTACCTAGGAGAAACAGTACAATATATAGTTATCACAGGTGTGTACACCCTTCTGTACCTAGGAGAAAATGTACAATATATAGTTATCACAGGTGTGTACACCCTTCGGTACCTAGAGAAAAGTACAATATATAGTTATCACAGGTGTGTACACCCTTCTGTACCTAGGAGAAAATGTACAATATATAGTTATCACAGGTGTGTACACCCTTCGGTACCTAGGAGAAAAAGTACAATATATAGTTATCACAGGTGTGTACACCCTTCGGTACCTAGGAGAAATATATAGTTATCAGTACAATATATATAGTTATCACAGGTGTGTATTCGGTTACAAAGAGAAACAGTACAATATATAGTTATCACAGGTGTGTACACCCTTCTGTACCTAGGAGAAAAAGTACAATATATAGTTATCACAGGTGTGTACACCCTTCGGTACCTAGGAGAATAAGTACAATATATAGTTATCACAGGTGTGTACACCCTTCTGTTACAAAGAAAAACAGTACAATATATAGTTATCACAGGTGTGTATACCCTTCTGTACCTAGGAGAATAAGTACAATATATAGTTATCACAGGTGTGTATACCCTTCTGTACCTAGGAGAAAAAGTACAATATATAGTTATCACAGGTGTGTACACCCTTCTGTACCTAGGAGAATAAGTACAATATATAGTTATCACAGGTGTGTATAGGAGAAAAGTACAATATATAGTTATCACAGGTGTGTACACCCTTCTGTACCTAGGAGAAAATGTACAATATATAGTTATCACAGGTGTGTACACCCTTCTGTGTACCTAGGAGAAAAAGAATCACAGGTGTGTACACCCTTCTGTACCAAGTACAATATATAGTTATCACAGGTGTGTACACCCTTCTGTACCTAGGAGAAAATGTACAATATATAGTTATCACAGGTGTGTACACCCTTCGGTTACAAAGAGAAAAAGTACAATATATAGTTATCACAGGTGTGTACACCCTTCTGTACCTAGGAGAAAATGTACAATATATAGTTATCACAGGTGTGTACACCCTTCTGTACCTAGGAGAAAAAGTACAATATATAGTTATCACAGGTGTGTACACCCTTCTGTACCTAGGAGAATAAGTACAATATATAGTTATCACAGGTGTGTACACCCTTCGGTTACAAAGAGAAACAGTACAATATATAGTTATCACAGGTGTGTACATCCTCCTGTACCTAGGAGAATAAGTACAATATATAGTTATCACAGGTGTGTACACCCTTCTGTACCTAGGAGAAAATGTACAATATATAGTTATCACAGGTGTGTACACCCTTCTGTACCTAGGAGAAACAGTACAATATATAGTTATCACAGGTGTGTACACCCTTCTGTACCTAGGTAAATAAGTACAATATATAGTTATCACAGGTGTGTACACCCTCCGGTACCTAGGAGAAAAAGTGCAATATATAGTTATCACAGGTGTGTACACCCTTCTGTACCTAGGAGAAAAAGCGCAATATATAGTTATCACAGGTGTGTACACCCTTCGGTTCCTGTGTAGGAGAAAAGTACAATATATAGTTATCACAGGTGTGTAGACCCTTCACCCGGTACCTAGGAGAAACAGTACAATATATAGTTATCACAGGTGTGTACACCCTTCGGTACCTAGGAGAAACAGTACAATATATAGTTATCACAGGTGTGTACACCCTTCTGTACCTAGGAGAAACAGTACAATATATAGTTATCACAGGTGTGTACACCCTTCGGTACCTAGGGTGTGTACACCCTTCTGTACCTAGGAGAAAAAGTACAATATATAGTTATCACAGGTGTGTACACCCTTCTGTACCTAGGAGAAAAAGTACAATATATAGTTATCACAGGTGTGTACACCCTTCTGTACCTAGGAGAAAAAGTACAATATATAGTTATCACAGGTGTGTACACCCTTCTGTACCTAGGAGAAAAAGTACAATATATAGTTATCACAGGTGTGTACACCCTTCGGTACCTAGGAGAAAATGTACAATATATAGTTATTACAGGTGTGTATACCCTTCGGTACCTAGGAGAAACAGTACAATATATAGTTATCACAGGTGTGTACACCCTTCTGTACCTAGGAGAAAATGTACAATATATAGTTATCACAGGTGTGTACACCCTTCGGTACCTAGGAGAATAAGTACAATATATAGTTATCACAGGTGTGTACACCCTTCGGTACCTAGGAGAAAAAGTGCAATATATAGTTATCACAGGTGTGTACACCCTTCTGTACCTAGGAGAAACAGTACAATATATAGTTATCACAGGTGTGTACACCCTTCTGTACCTAGGAGAAACAGTACAATATATAGTTATCACAGGTGTGTATACCCTTCTGTACCTAGGAGAATAAGTACAATATATAGTTATCACAGGTGTGTACACCCTTCTGTACCTAGGAGAAAAAGTACAATATATAGTTATCACAGGTGTGTACACCCTTCTGTACCTAGGAGAATAAGTACAATATATAGTTATCACAGGTGTGTACACCCTTCTGTACCTAGGAGAATAAGTACAATATATAGTTATCACAGGTGTGTACACCCTTCTGTACCTAGGAGAATAAGTACAATATATAGTTATCACAGGTGTGTATACCCTTCTGTACCTAGGAGAATAAGTACAATATATAGTTATCACAGGTGTGTACACCCTTCTGTACCTAGGAGAATAAGTACAATATATAGTTATCACAGGTGTGTACACCCTTCTGTACCTAGGAGAAACAGTACAATATATAGTTATCACAGGTGTGTACACCCTTCTGTACCTAGGAGAAAAAGTACAATATATAGTTATCACAGGTGTGTACACCCTTCTGTACCTAGGAGAAAAAGTACAATATATAGTTATCACAGGTGTGTACACCCTTCGGTACAAGAGAAAAAGTACAATATATAGTTATCACAGGTGTGTACACCCTTCTGTACCTAGGAGAAAAAGTACAATATATAGTTATCACAGGTGTGTACACCCTTCTGTACCTAGGAGAATAAGTACAATATATAGTTATCACAGGTGTGTATACCCTTCGGTTACAAAGAGAAACAGTACAATATATAGTTATCACAGGTGTGTACACCCTTCTGTACCTAGGAGAATAAGTACAATATATAGTTATCACAGGTGTGTACATCCTTCTGTACCTAGGTAAATAAGTACAATATATAGTTATCACAGGTGTGTACACCCTCCGGTACCTAGGAGAAAAAGTACAATATATAGTTATCACAGGTGTGTACACCCTTCTGTACCTAGGAGAATAAGTACAATATATAGTTATCACAGGTGTGTATACCCTTCGGTTACAAAGAGAAACAGTACAATATATAGTTTTTAAAAGGATGCACTGACATAGAAAGGAGAGGGGAAGGGGATAACAGAATTATGCTGTTTAAGGCGTAAGTCTACGTAGTGCATAACCTTTGGCAGTTAGGAGCGAAAGTAAGAAATGATGCTAGATTAAGCATGTTTTCTTAAGGACTGATAAATGCTGAAGTGTATTACAACAGGCAAACTTCCCAATATCGTTTTGAATGTATCACGTTTATTGTGTGTTATGTTTGTAGAAAAAATCCTTTTAATTCCAGTGAGTATCTTTGTACTTTTAACTGTTATTTATCTAATCAGTTGTATACCTTAAGGAAAAAATAGAATTAATTGAATTCTGTAATCTTTGTAAGGTAACCGAAACAGCGTCAATTTGCATAATCAAAGTAACGTTTGGCTGATCAAAGAGGTATGTGGAACTCCAGGGGCTATCCTTAGTTCTGTACAGGCATTTTACCATGCGTTGATGTTTCAACAGATGACTACTCGTTCAGTATCTTCCTACTTCAAAACCTTTCATATAGCGAATTTTGCCAAACTTAGGATTTTGGTAATTCGAGCTTACCTTTGCACCCGGGCCTTTGTAGCGGTAAATATCCCATAGTCGCTCAAACTCTGGAGGGCTCCAACATACGAAGAATATTATCAGCACTGTCAGTATCATCGTCATAGCCTGCAAAGAGATGACACGGAAGGTAGTAAGTAACATGACAAAACACTTTATCAAAAGATTGTCATCCTGTTTAGCGCTCGAGGTAAAGCTCTACTTACTTTTTGCCTCATCTCGTTGAATGATTTCCTCTGCTCTGTCGCTGGTACTTTTGGCGGCACGAATTTCACCATCGTGACAATGAGCAGGACAAACATGATAAGGACTGGTAGTACATAGCCAATCACCACTGACGTCGTGATGTAGGCCTTTCGAGATTCCTCGGAAGGGAAGTGAGCTTGGCACAGGACCTCATGACCTCCCACCCAATCGTATTCAACAAAACGGGAATACAGTAACCATGGCAATGCGAGAACAGCTCCAAATACCCAAATGAGAACAATGAGCGTGACCTGGTGTGCTTGGGTGATGACAAGACATCTTGGAAACAGCGCGGCAAAGAATCTGTCTATGACTACCACTGTTAGTGTGAAAACGCTCACCGTCACAACCAACACTGAAACATATAAAATAGGCAAAGACTGAAACCAAGGTTCAGATGATACATATCAAAAGTAATTATATAAATATATAGTCCCAGAATGATACACCAGGACCGAGACCCATTAGGTATACACCAGGACCAACACTCAGCAGGTATACAACAGGACAAAGGCCCAGCAGGTATACACCAGGACCAACACCCAACAGGTATACAACAGGCCCAAGGCCCAGCAGGTATACACCAGGACCAACACCCAGCAGGTATACACCAAGACCAACTCCCAGCAGGTATACACCAGGACCAACACCCAGCTGGTATACACCAGGACCAACACCCATCAGGTATACACCAGGACCAACGCCAAGCAGGTATACAACAGGACCAACGCCCAGCAGGTATACACGAGGACTTACTCCCAGCAGGTATACACCAGGACCAACACCCATCAGATATGCACCAGGACCAACACCCAGCAGGTATACACCAGGACCAACGCCAAGCAGGTATACAACAGGACCAACGCCCAGCAGGTATACACCAGGACTAACACCCAGCAGGTATACACCAGGACCAACACCCATCAGATATGCACCAGGACCAACACCCAGCAGGTATACACCAGGACCAAGGCCAAGCAGGTATACAACAAGACCAACACTCAGCAGGTATACACCAGGACTAACACCCAGCAGGTATACACCAGGACCAACACCCAGCAGGTATACAACAGGACCAAGGCCCACCAGGTATACACCAGGACCAACACCCAGCAGGTATACACCAGGACCAACACCCAGCAGGTATACACCAGGACCAACACTCAGCAGGTATACACCAGGACCAACACCAAGCAGGTATACACCAGGACCAACACCCAGCAGGTATACACCAGGACCAACACCCAGTAGGTATACACCAAGACCAACACTCAGCAGGTATACACCAGGACCAACACCCAGCAGGTATACACCAGGACCAACACTCAGCAGGTATACACCAGGACCAACACCAAGCAGGTATACACCAGGACCAACACCCAGCAGGTATACACCAAGACCAACACTCAGCAGGTATACAACAGGACAAAGGCCCAGCAGGTATACACCAGGACCAACACCCAGCAGGTATACACCAGGACCAACACCCAGCAGGTATACAACAGGACCAAGGCCCAGCAGGTATACACCAGGACCAACACCCATCAGGTATACACCAGGACCAACGCCAAGCAGGTATACAACAGGACCAACGCCCAGCATGTATACACCAGGACCAACACACAGCAGGTGTACACCAGGACCAACACCCAGCAGGTATACACCAGGACCAACACCCATCAGGTATACACCAGGACCAACGCCAAGCAGGTATACAACAGGACCAACGCCCAGCAGGTATACACCAGGACCAACACACAGCAGGTGTACACCAGGACCAACACCCAGCAGATGTACACTAGGTAATTATAACTAGATATAAAGCCATGATAATTTAAACTAGATATCAGTATACTAGATTCCGAATAAGTATTTACTTTGAATAGATCCAGTTTATTGATAATACCGATATTAAGTAGGTTATAGAAGAGCAAATTACGTGTTAAGTAGGTTATGAAAAGAAGTGATACGTATTAAGTAGGTACCTTGAGAATTAATTTTGCATTAAGCAGGTTTTATGGAAATTAATTATATATTAAGCAGGTTCGGGAAAGAAAAAAAAACTAAGCAGGCTTTAGGAGAATCAGTTACATACTGAATAAATCTTAGGTTCTTCGAAATGAATTGTGTATTAATTAGGTTCTAGGATAAATGAATTGTGTATTAATTAGGTTCTAGGATAAATGAATTGTGTATTAATTAGGTTCTAGGATAAATGAATTGTGTATTAATTAGGTTCTAGGATAAATGAATTGTGTATTAATTAGGTTCTAGGATAAATGAATTGTGTATTAATTAGGTTCTAGGATAAATGAATTGTGTATTAATTAGGTTCTAGGATAAATGAATTGTGTATTAATTAGGTTCTAGGATAAATGAATTGTGTATTAATTAGGTTCTAGGATAAATGAATTGTGTATTAATTAGGTTCTAGGATAAATGAATATATATTCTAGGATAAATGAATATAATTAGGTTCTAGGATAAATGAATTGTGTATTAATTAGGTTCAGGTCCTTAGTGAATTGATTATTTATTAACCAGGTTCTGAAAAAGGAACGATATGTATTAAACAAGTTGTAGGAGAATTTATTATGTATTAAGTGGGTTTTAGAGGAATTGATTATGTAAAATTCAGATTCTAAAAGGAAAAACGTATATCAAGCAGGTTCTAGAATAATTAACTATATATTAAGCAGGTTTTAGGAGAAAGTTTATAAAGATATCGGTTAGATTATCAGTATATAGTATAGATCTCATGTCTCTGCTTTTGGTAATAGAGATGTACATAAGTAAACTGTATTCCCAACAGTTCTATAATTTTTTAATACTTTGGGCTTTAGGTTCCTCATATCACTACATTAACAGAAGAGTACGATTCAATCTGCATACGTCACATGAATTTGTTTGTTAATTTTACGTATTCATACTGTATAACGTTGTAAATATACAAAGAGTTATGATAACGTTAGTATATTTTAACTGTAAGTGGGAGTATATTTCATAGAGAATAAAGGTTTTACATATCAAATTGGTCTCGTAGAAAGACGCAACAACAGTTATTGTGATAGATAATGAATGAATGTCACGGCCGGTATATTTGGTTCATGAAAATCATATGATTTAAAGTGTTTATTAATAGAATTTCTTTTTCATAGGTCGTAGGGAAACTTACCTTGCAAAAATGTGTTGATCTTACAGAAGAATGGACCGAGCGGCCACCTTGTCGGATTGAGGTTCGTGACCACGTGTAACCACATACACGTGACAGCGATGAGAATATTAACACAAGCCAAGTTCAAAACGTACATGTTAAACTTTGTTCGCAAACTTTTTGTTCTGATGATAACAACAATGATAAGAGAATTGAGGGTTAAAGCCAGCACTATGGCCAATACATACATGGCTATCTTTGCGACTCGCTCATTTGTCGTGATGTCTGGCAGTACACTTAAATCACTAAAGCTAATGTTTGAGCTCTTCAACCATGCAGTAAAATCAAAGTTTAGGAGATTTGTCCCATTGACACTGCCAAAGGAAGAGTTGACTGAAGTCTGGAGGCTCATCCTTAAAATATTTCGCAATGAAATCCAACACAGAGTATGTTACATTTGTATAGCCATTTGGAGAACAATGATGAGGTAGTTCTAAGATTCTTCTGACTCCATAGTGTGGTCTGACATAATCGGTTCCTCTTCGATGTCCTGTTTGGAATAGACTCGTCGTGGAAGTCACTACACCAAATATAGTTTGGTTATTCTATTTTGGTCGCTCAGAGATAAGACGAGATGGACACATTAGGGACATAAGTTTGATATGGATACAATTTATTGTGACTGAGTGTCAGATTTTGAATACTTCGCTTGATATCTAAACATTTGATCGGCTGAAATGAGAAGAAGATTTGTTAACCGAAGGAGTGAGTTCGTAGGTGTGGACGATTTTAGAAGCTGAAGGAGGAAGACACCTGGCAACTAAAGTACAAACATCGACATCTCTCTAACACAGCCAAGCCTTTGCTTTATGCGAATCAGACATCATGTTATAGAGTGTCATACAACTGACTATACCATCAAAACCAAACATTACCTACATATATATGGAATTATCCAGGCTTAACTTACTTATTCGAATAAATAGATATTTTATACAAAATAAAACTTTACGTGTCCCATTCTGTATATTACTATTAATTTTGTTTAATCTCCCTTGCTGTCAAGACAAAAGGTCTTTCCCAATTGGGGATTTTCCATTTCTTGATAGGAACCAGCCACCTTTCCCAGTCTAATGTCTTCTGACAAACTAACAGATAAACTAAAAACACGTGGTTTCAAGGGATGCGAAATGATGAAGATCATAAACAAGCTTTATGATGTCATAATTATCTTATTGGGAAATATTATGATTTCTTGTTTTAAGCTTGCTAGTATCGGTGATCTTTATACTATTGTTTACCTTGTCATCATCTGCGAACGTGACATTATTGCTTTGATCATGGCGGACGTCGTCAATGATGCATAAGAAGCTTACCATTCCGGAACACATGATCTTATTATTTTTGTACTTTTTTAGAATTGTCCGGGTAAATATTTCTCTTGTTCGTCCTAGTTTAAGTGAATTTGAAGTTGACACGAGATTCTGTCAACATGTTGTTATTTTGCTCCTTGTTTAATTATCATTAACATATAATGATATACTAAAGTTTTAAGATAATGGCACAAACATATCACAGTGAATCCGCAATGGAGTGAATATTCCACAGCGACAACCCAGGGTAAAAAAAAACTACTGTCATCTCGCGGGGAAAAGTCATCTACATTGTCAAAATCAACGAACAAAATATAACGAATCATCATTACACAGCCATAACTTAGGGAAAGGACATTTTCTTAACCACGTTTGACATCCATTTCTACCAAAGCCGAGAACGTATGAATATTATAACGAATCACTACAATATTAAAATATCTTGTATGGTGTTTGAATATACAATCACAACAACTTAATACATTTGATGTTTTATCGTTTTGAAGGCAGACTTAGATACTAGGACATCTGTCAATAAAATAACGAGGCGTCTGGTTATTGTTGATACATCATTCGATATATAAGGGGTATGTCTAGTCATGAATCAAATCACAAATAAACTTAATCTGAGACAGAAATGGTCAGCACGCTGTGAGCTTGTGGGCGTTTAAGAAATAAAAAATTGTATTAAATGATTTGGCTGTTACTAGGGCGTGTCTTCATTCTACTATCATAAATGGCGTTTCTCTGACGTCATCAGAATAACCCTATTTGTGTCGTTGTCTCTTTAATCAAAATTACCGCGTGTAATATTTACCAATGGTGTCGTTATACATGTTGAATGTTATCAGTGTCCAAACTAGTTCACAAGTAGGCTGTGTCGCTATTTCTCACAGATAAACACGGTCAAACATTGACAGCCACAAAAACAATTCTGACGGACCATTGTTGTTCTGGGTAGATGACTTGTAATGTATTCCGTTTAAATAATATATAGATAATAATGATGATATTGATGGATGTATAGTTTATATATATGAGCTGGTGTGTAAGTAAAACATGGGTAGGTAAATAGAGGTTATACAACAATTAATTGTTTTATCGTATTTTTTCCGCTCAAAATGGTGTTTTTTCTAATAACTAACTCAAGTAAAAGAACTATCCTACATTACAACCATGCGTTTGCGTAACTACAATTAAAATAGATATTGTGAAGTTGGAGCGTAATGATATAACCTTTCATGAAATACTGCTAAATGTACTTGATATGCAAAACTGACAATTTCGGAAAAACATGGAGATGTCATAACTCAGTATAAATTTTAAGCAGAAATGAATTCGTATGTTGTCTTCAAAGTCAAGAAAGATTGGAAATCCCAACAAAATTCAAACTATTGCAGAAAAATTCATAATGTACTTATTTGGAGATATAATAAGATATTTCTCAATGACAGCGCTACGACTTTCCTACAATTTTCATCAACCCTGTGTTACGAGTTTGTCACTCAGTTGACGACTTCTTGCGCGAAAATCATGATAATGGGAACAGGCCATTGAATATCGAATTAACTGTGATATGTTAATACATAGATTGGGGATACAGGGTTGTTGCTATCTAGAAATGGAAATTCACGATAGGGAAGTTGAAATCATCTGGTTATTATACAGCTTGACGGAAAGCTGTCCATGTTGGTTTCGTTGTAAGAAAAGATCGAGATAAGCAGCTGATGTAGAAGAATTTGTCGCGTATTTGATTTCTAATTCTTGTGGGTATATACTATGGGCGTGGTCAATAAATTTCATGTTATAGACAAGACGTCATCAATATATCTGAAGGTCAAGTTAATGGACTTTACAGGATCTCTCTGACCTATGTTGATAAGCTCTTCAATAAAACCGGCCTCGTATGACTCGTATGTAAAAATCCTAAGCAAGTCAGCCAACAGAAAGGCACAGTTAGTTCCCATAAGTATGGCAGATCTTACATCCAAACTCAACGAATATGTTGTGAACCAGAAACACGATCATTTTCATGATTTCGTCAAATGTATATTTCTTCTTTGATTTGGGTGTATTTTTTACGAGATACGCTTCAATCTAGTTCATAGCCATACATTTATATTGCCGGTCACCTTTCTTGGAGAAGAAAGCCCGCTAAGTTACCATAATTTCTGTGTAATTTCAATTCAATTTTATTTCATTCCGTATGCAACAGCATATAAGATTGAGGATATACATACAAATAATAACATTTACTTTTACACAAGATGGCGGAGATAATAACATTTACATTTACACAAGATGGCGGAGATAATAACATTTACATTTACACAAGATGGCGGAGATAATAACATTTACATTTACACAAGATGGCGGGGAACATTAGCCATAACCAATAAGATTAAGACACAAAATTCATAAGTATACATAGATATCAAGCACATTTTAAACAGCGGTATTCTGAAACACCAGTACTCGGAAGTGTTAATTTTAACAAATTAAAATGTATAGATTAATTAAGAAACACTCAACTGCTCAACAATATCTTGAATAGCATAAGTAAAAAATAATTCAAGTGTTTAATAATTCCTTTCTTATTGGCGTAGCGTGAATCAGAAACCGGCCAAAATGCCTGAGAGTTTTAACATTATTACTAGATAATAGAGTAAGGTTTAATATACAAGATACGCGATTCTGAATAAGATGGACATAGTAAAATAAAATGAATATCATCTTCTATTTCATTTCTATCGCACAGAGTGTATATTCTTTGAGAAATACTAACACCATGGTACGGAAGCGTATTCCGACCACGTTGTGTTTTTTTATCTCAAAATTTCGAGATAGCAACTCGAAATTTTGAATTAGTAACTCGAAATTTTGAATTAGTAACTCGAAATTTTGAGGCCAACAAAATATCACAAAACCTGAGAGATATTTTTTCAATGGAGATTTATTGTCACGCATTTTTTCTTTCTGTGGAACAAAAAGCCACATGTATACGATATATTACATCTGTATTAGAATGTCACTTAAGGTTTCTATATCATACTATAATAAATGTACATTATACAAATATTCTCGGAGATTTATTGATTATATAAATATTAGTGAAGACTAATTAAAGAATATTATACAAATATTTGTGAAAACTTACAGGTAAGAAACAAATGTATATATAGGCAAATACAATTCCTATGGATTACCATTGATAAGTTATCACTAATTGATTACATATATAATATTCAAGTATTCATGGTATATACAAGTACGTGTTTACAATCAACTCTGCCACGATGTAAACAAGGCAATCAACATTTCATTCTCTATACAATATCTGGACACATTCTAATCAGGATTTACAACTAAATCCCTATAATTTAATTGCTTTTCAAGGTCGTATGATATTTAAAGTGGTACTCTTATGTAAAGTTTGGTTTTGTTTCATTATCGTAAACTCATTATCATTAAAGATTGATAAATAACGAAATCTGTCGTGAATAGTGTCATTACAAACAGTGTTCTGCTGTCCCAATATCAGCCAACCGTCAATGGTTTCAATAGGAAACTGCAATTTAATGCTTTGAATAAGATAACGTTTCCTTGCCTTTTTTCCTGAATAAATTACCTGAAGACACCGAACTGTATAGACTACCACAGTGCTTGTGTTGCCAGATGTGTCAGTCTAATGTCAGATACATCAGCTGACTCCTTACACTACTACACCACCTGCTTAATGTAGTTTGTCGACGTTTTAAATGCTCTTCTTTATCAATATGGTTCTTACCAATAAAAACATGGCTGTACCTCCATGTGAATTAATTGATCGCGTAACCTCGGTCGAGGTATATTTTTCAGTATTGGTTTGCTTACAGTACACATTGATTGAACAATTCTAAAGACTATTCCCGATTTACCAAGTACAGTCGTACTTGTTGAATATCTTCCAGCCATACCAACCTTCAACATTACTTTTATGTAACTTATAAACATAATATTGTTTATTGTGATGGCAAGAAAAACTGATCGTACCAAAATACCATTTTACAATTATTTCTGTTTCTGTCTCATACAAAACTCTACATCAGTCTCCAGAACTGTTTAAAAATCCAACAAATAAATATCTACACCGTATAATAGCATCACGACTGAATTCAACATTTTAACCGAAGTTCAGTTCTTTTTTTTTCACTGCAAATAATCAGACGAATTAAACTGCAATTATTTTGTTTTAAAATAATCCTAAGTATATACTAATATAACTATCTCTTTCTCAGAATAAAGATGTCTTTTTTTTGTAAATATAATAAGTGTAATTTTCTTAATATTAATTGTTGACTTTTCAACAATAACTAAAAACCCAGATTGTCACCCTACAGACGTTTATGACATTACAACAATATCGTGTGATATAATAATAGATAACTTGAGACATATTGTAACTATTTGTACAACTAAAATATCTACTATATGGAATCAATTCACAGTTTTTATAAAAATGAAGGTAAGTCACTCAAGTATAATCTAAACCAAAATGCTAATAAATGTTCACCTTGTTTTAAACCGCTATAGCAGCTGAACATAACAACTTATTTCGATACCTTATAACGACAGATATCATATTTGAACATAAACCATGGATTTTGTTAGTAATTCCTTATTAATGCCGCTCTCACAGTTTTCTGCAATAGTACCGGTAGTATAAAAGGCGTTACGAAAACATACGAGCAAAATATTTGAATGTGCTGCTTATTCAGTTACCAACCATTACTAAAAGGATGCTTCTGATTAATGTGCAGTATGATATCAAGACAAAAATAAATAAAAACAAAGAATTAATTCATAGCCTACATTCAATTAATTTACATTTTGATATCATGACAAAATGACAAAAACAAAACAAAAACAAACAAACAAACAAACAAAATACAAAACCAAAATATAAATGGATAAAAACAAACAAAGAATTAATTTATAACCCACATTCGATTAATTGCTTACTAGGAATATGGTAAGTATAACTTTACTTATATACCAAGATCCCTGTCTGGTATAAGGGTTCATTGGACGGTGGTACAATACGTCGGAGATAGACAAAGCTGTCATAGCAACGGAGCTGTATAGACATGGAGAACACTGAAAATATAAACTGTACATATACATACGGAACAAAGGAAGTCAAAAGCAGTGGGAATTTTCGACTGTCATCGAATCGAATGAATGAATAAATAAATAAATAAAAATGTACATCATGTTAATACTGTACGGAATGAACACGAACATATGTTCAATTATTCAAACTGAATGATATTCGATTATTGAAATCTATGTTATAAACGTGTACGACGGTGATAATGATTTGAATAATGCCGTCTGTGTTGTAATGTAGAGAGGCGGACCCGGGGTACAACCCAGATAGTACTACATTGTTAGACCTACGGCGCTATGCGAGGTGGAAAATCAGGTGATTCGCCAGAAATATAGATTTTGGTACTCATGAGGTGAGGTATATTTTGAAGGTCGAATTTATGAAGCTTGCTCGTGCTGACGGTGACCTTGTTATAATATTGCTATTACTTATAGGATTTATGTTTCTCAAATTTAAGATGTACAAAAACCATCTTTGTAATGATCATTACTATCGTGTAAATCCTAGTTTGTTTTACATGATTTGGGCGAAGCAGCAATCCTTGTTTGTTATGAATGAAATATTCTTAAGTTGTCACTCTAGATAGAATTGTAATGTCTCTCACTGTTTACTGTCGGCAAAATCGGCGATATTTTCTCCATTCTGATTTTTGAAAAACGAAGGACATTTCACAAAACCTTATTTATTTTTCTATCTATTTAATTTATTTGCATTTTAAATATTTTGATAGATATAAGGGTTGATAGACAAAAGACAAAACACGTCTTTAATTTATCTACATTGTGACATGTGTATGAGATGTTCGATAATTACTCTTTCCTTATCTATGATTACATAGAGTTTAAGTCCAAGTTGATATTATTTATTTTTGTCAATTTCTCCCGATGGTGGATGGTTTAGATTGCCTGTGGTCCGTGATTCGTATCAATCCTTTTTATTTACTGGAGGGGTATTTTTCACATTTCCTATGTAAATTAATCCATGTTCCTAGCCACTGAATTTTTAGTCCCATTTGTGAAATCTTAGATTTTGACAGTTGAAGATTTTAATGATTTTTCTTGGAGTACTGGAAAGATATTTCTCAGACTTGATGCCTATGTAGAAGTCCCCTTGGCCCCAAGATGTATCCATTTAATTCAGGGAAATCATGATGATGATATCACCTTTATGTGCTCACGCTAGTTAAGATTAAATTTGGTACAATGCATGCGTGTCCATGTCCGCTGTATGTAGCTGGGAAACCCTCGTGTTTTATTGTATTTTGTTGAAAAAGCTAAGAAAACCCTCGTGTTTAAGAGTATTTCGTTCAAAGTAACAACTTGGACGACTAGTCAAAAATTTTCTGATAATTAGCATTTTTGATACAGAAATGAAACCCATCGCTAGACTTGTTTTCAGTGTTGGCCACAGGTTAAATCTGTTGTTCGTCATATCTTTTTACATACAACTTAATCATGCTTTTTTATCTTAATTTTATGGAAAAAATAATTTGTACTTCCTCCGGTTATCTTACAAATGTTAAGATCTGTACGATAAGATACCTTAGTTTCAGTGTGTATGACACACATATTTCTGGGTCTGTTTTTCGTGGACGCCTGCGGCCAAAAGAAATGAAAAAACAATAGCAATTGATGTATAGAAACCATAGGCGGTATGATAAAGTATAAAACAAGCATGTCTGTGGATTCTCATCACATGTCGAAAGAGTAAAAATATATTAATTGATTTTCAATCAAGTTTGGTTTGCAGAGAAGGAAGAATTAGATGAAGGAGATGGAGACTATATACCTAGTCAATATTCTGATCGTTAAGTCTACAATATAAAGAAAATCGTATACCTCCTGTAATTTTGAATGAAGTTATTATGGGTGAAAATTTCAATAAAAATATTTCACAAAATTTAATTTGTAGCATAAAATTAGGCGATCTCTGAAGATTTTAATAGTACTTTACACCACGTACATATCGTACGTGTTACAGTTATGACATTACATGTAATTAAGGCAAACATGTTATACATATAAAGGTTACTACAAATATTAAATGGAATTGTACAGAAGAAGAGGATATTCGTAACACCATTGCTGTAAGGCAGGTGTGTCTGTTCGAGTAAAATAAATCTGACTTTGTAATCACAGCTTTCAAAACCTCAACATCCTAGACCACAAAACATATCTTAAACTGAAAACAATTACTGTCTGCATCCTAGCGGCACTGACATTATTATTTTCAGATAATGGCCCAGATTCAGACCATGGCCCAGATTCAGACTATAGCCCAGATTCAGACAATGGCCCAGATTCAGATTATGGCCCAGATTCAGACAATGGCCCAGATTTCAGACAATGGCCCAGATTCAGACTATAGCCCAGATTCAGACAATGGCCCAAATTCAGATTATGGCCCAGATTCAGACAATGGCCCAGATTTCAGACAATGGCCCAGATTCAGACAATGGCCCAGATTCAGACAATGGCCCAGATTCAGACTATGGCCCAGATTCAGACAATGGCCCAGATTCAGACTATGGCCCAGATTCAGACCATGGCCCAGATTCAAACTATAGCCCAGATTTCAGACAATGGCCCAGATTCAGACAATGGCCCAGATTTCAGATTATGGCCCAGATTCAGACAATGGCCCAGATTCAAACTATAGCCCAGATTTCAGACAATGGCCCAGATTCAGATTATGGCCCAGATTCAGACAATGGCCCAGATTCAGATTATGGCCCAGATTCAGACAATGGCCCAGATTCAAACTATGGCCCAGATTCAGACCATGGCCCAGATTCAGACTATAGCCCAGATTCAGACAATGGCCCAGATTCAGACCATGGCCCAGATTCAAACTATGGCCCAGATTCAGACTATGGCCCAGATTCAGACAATGGCCCAGATTCAGACAATGGCCCAGATTCAGACAATGGCCCAGATATTTGGCCCAGGGGGCAAATATATTGTACAGAATGTAGCTGTTGAGCCAATGGTATTTGTCTAAGTTGGCCCAACAGTTCATCTACGTTGAGGCATCATTAACCCATTGGTGGTGTGGTATCTGGAAAGTCACCATCTTATCTGAGGGATATTCACACACAAATACATAGATATACTGTTGATGATAGGTTTTAGTTTGCACATATTAATTCAAACGAATAAGCGAAACATGTGTAGTATAAATAATGCTGAAAATGGATTTCACCAATTACAACATCAAAAGGATTCTATCATTAACGAGTACTTAATATAGTTGTAAGAGTTTTTGGTTTTATGATATATATATATATATATAATCACATAGCACACACATAAACCGTGGTACAGAGAAAGAATACGACCCAACACTATAGAAACATTGATAGACATTTAGATCAGTGTCCTGACTGACGTCATAAAAGTCAGAACACAATTCCATCGTGACTACAGGCGTATCCAAAAGATTTGTAGTACAATGACACAAATATTAAGCCATAACTTTAAATGGCTGATCACGTGATACCGTTAGACGTAAGTGTTGAAAGTAAGGGCACCAAACACACTGTCACGTGACATCAACAGGCATTATTGTATCGTGATACCATGCATTTCTGTCACAGGACATCACTAGGAATCATTGTTTTGGTTACCATTTCATTATTGTCGCGTGACGTCACTATGCTTAACTGTTTTGCGTCACTCCTGCACTGCTCTCGCGTGACGTCACTAGGCATGGCTGTTTTGGGTCATCCCTGCGCTACTGTCACCAGCCTTAGACCCATCAAATGCGGTAACAACAGAACGCCCGGCTGGTCCTTGGGATAAAAACAGGAGATATTACGTTTAAATCTTTGCAACAGTAAGATATCAATTAAAGATTATTCATAGACAATTATTTGCGATCGATAGAGAACAAAACACATCTATGCTAAAGATGCAGTTTTACTAGTGACGTATACGTTCTGTAGTGTACGCTAACGTTTCCAATGTGAGAAGGGAGATAACTCTGTGATAACTACAAGTATATCCCAAGACTCCAGTGTATCATTAGATATTATAATGGGTTAAATGTGAAATATAAATCACTTGATAGTTAGATTTTTATAAACAATTTCTGAAAAAAGGGAGTTAATCATTATTACCTAACACTTGATCTATAAAAATTAAAAAAAAAAAAAAAAAAAACCCACACACACAAGTAAACAAGTTTATGTAGTAAACTGGTCTTGCTTCGTTGGTATTTCGTTATTTTAGGGAAGGTTCAATCACCAGATTAAGTCTGTAACTTTCTTGAATCATCGATAATAAACGTACCACAGACCCTCAGACAACAGCCTTATCCCATGTAGCACCACAAGCTGTATTTACTCCCCAAGGCCAATTTATAAAAGCTAGCAAGTGATAGATCTATATCACATATATAGACATTAATATATACCTGTTAGTTAAATCTAAATAAAGCCGTGATTAACAGTGATTAGTGATAGATTAATAAGCAGCCTCGTTCACGTTTTTATTGTTATTTATACCCGATGATCTCAGTACAAATAGCAAGCAAATGATACCTAGAATGATACATACTTGGGGTTAAAGGTCAGTCTGTCAGCTGTTGTCAATAAAACAAATCATTACATTTAGGCGATAAAATGTGTTTTAATAGCAATTTACCTCAATACCACATGTTGTTCTTTCATGGAGAAACGACGAAAGGACGACACAACGGAATTACACAGAAATTATCAGTTTCTCACTGAAGTGGGATACACATTTTTGGTAAATTAGTAGGCGGTTTCTATCTAATATTAAATCAAAGTTATACCAACAAATTGAAATATTAAGATTACTGAATTATGAAATAATATATCTTTAAATTTCTTCTTGTAATGGAGTTTTTGTCAATGACGCCAAAGTGGCGCCACCTACTAATTCCTGCAAAAGATGCAATCCACATTCTCTTCGATTCAGATACAAAGCGTGCATAAGATAAAGCCAGTCCTTGAGATATAAAAACTAATTTTGCTGACCTAACACTACATAATCTAACCACAGCTGTTCAGTGTTAGTATTTTCATCAGCTCAGCAACTTAAGATAAACATAAAACCAGATACAGGTATTGACACTGGCTTAGCGATACTCTCCACATACCTGGAGTCACTTGGTTCCTCTTTCGCCACAAACTACATTTAAAAGCCTCCGTAAATCCCCGCCGGAAGTTCTCGTTGAAGCCTGCGTAAAGAATCGGATTGATCGCACTATTCAGATAGGCGAAATAAACTGCTATGTACTTGATGGTCGGCACATACTTCGACGTCTGCAAAATAAATTATTTATTGAATCAGACGAAAACAGACATATCCGTGATAACAGTTAATGTAATACTTATATGGTATTTATTATTCCGTGTGAACGGTATTTTGTCTTTCTGTTTGATAAAAGTTGTTGATCTGGCCTCTCAAACATAACAGGTAAATGTCTAAGACGATAAACAAAGAAGTTTCATGTTGTTTAATGTGACAGTTATACATTTCTAACTGTTCTCCATCAGACAAGCCTGTTTGTGGATTGTTACCGTACATATCATGTCCACGTGTATCATTTAACGTCCGACTTTACCTTCGTGGTGTGGGACCTAAACACTTCCCACAGAAGAAAGTATTGCTGCGGTGTCCAGCACAACACAAATACCACCAGCACGACAACCAACATCTTGATTACCTAGACAAGACAGGCGAGAGAGTATGTCAGTGATACATGGAAGGCTTACAGGCACCACTAATCGTTTTATGTCCTTTAATGATTAGCCGACAAAACTGAATAATGACGTACAAGAACGTTAAACGTGTATTTCGTTTGTACATCAGTGTCCTTTCCAAAACTTAGACTAACGAAAATATATACATTGTACATAGTAAATCCATTACCAGGCAACTATTCTTGATTAAATCCTCATTTTGAAAATTACTTCAACAAAGTTTGAAGCGGTTATACTGCAATGAAAGCAATGAAGTGATAGGTTTATTGAGTTAGACTGAACACGGTTATGAATAAGATTTGATAATTCTTATGTTATTTCATCTACTCATAAGGAACAATTTTCTCACCTTTTTGCGCGTCCTGTCCTGTGTAGACGAGGTTGAGCGCACACTGTTACCAGGCGCCTTCCTCAGCAAAAGTTTGAGCGCAATGACGCTGTATGCGCCAATCATAATAATGACGGGGATCACGTACATAACTATTCCCTCAATTGTGTAGTAGATAATCTTTCCCGGCTCGTGCGAAACGCACGCGGAGTTCTTATAAAACTTGGGCCAAATTTCCGTACAGAAAACTTCATCCCTATTCCTAAAGTTGTACGTGATGACCTTCCGCACGAACAATTGTGGTGCTGCGATAGCAGCAGAGACAAGCCAGGACACAGCTATGGAGACCCCCATAACACACTGCGTCATCTTACCCCTCAATGGGAACACTATGGCGAAGAACCGCTCTATGGAAATTACAGTCAGTGTAAGCACACTCGAGGTAACGGCAAAAACTACAACAAAACGGGTGGACCAATCACCATTGATCATAATTAAAAACATGGATCGTATTAGCTACCTTAAATCATAACAAAACAGATAGAAGAACCCGTTCACTGAAAGGCTGAAAGGCCCTAGTAGTGGGCGCAATAATAAATAAATTAATTAATTGATTAATAGAATCATATCAGTTTCCCTTGAATACAACAATACAAATACAACACTACAATGTCATCTTAGGAAGTTATTGTAAATATACACTTTTTTGACACGATATATGTATATGTGATTGACGTGTCCGGATGGATGATTAATCGGGTAATCAGCAGTAAAAGTGTTATTGAGATGTGATTTGTTTCAGTATTAAATAGTGTGTATGTCTTTACCTGAGTGAAGGTGCTGATCTGCATGACTTACCTTGTGTGAAAGTGCTGATCTGCATGACTTACCTTGTGTGAAAGAGCTGATCTGCATGACTTACCTTGTGTGAAGGTGCTGATCTGCATGACTTAACTTGTGTGAAGGTGCTGATCTGCATGACTTACCTTGTGTGAAGGTGCTGATCTGCATGACTTACCTTGTGTGAAGGTGCTGATCTGCATGACTTAACTTGTGTGAAGGTGCTGATCTGCATGACTTACCTTGTGTGAAGGTGCTGATCTGCATGACTTACCTTGTGTGAAGGTGCTGATCTGCATGACTTACCTTGTGTGAAGGTGCTGGCTTTACAGATAAAGGGTCCGAATGGCCAGTTAGCGCTGATCTGGTTACCTAGATGGACCCACATGCAGAAAAGCCCTACCATTATGTCGGAGATGGCGAGGTTGAGGATGAGGATGTTTGTGGTGGACCTCATCCGTTTGTTCAGATATATGATTATGACCACTATAACATTGCCCACCACGTCCACCACAAATGACAGGACATAAAACAGTATCTTTAGAGTTATTTCCCAGGTGGGCTTGACAGGAAGAGGGGGAGCGTCAACATACTTCAGCGTAGAAAGCAGAAACGGAGGCGGTTGGACGGGGTCCCCAGGAACGCATGTTCTGTTGGGAATGCCCGCAAGATTCATGTTGGACAATACATTAAATTGCAATCAGAGAAATGGCTGATGAATTCCGTGTTGTTTCTCAATGTACCAACATCTGCTCTCATGATGGGTTTGGAATTGGCATTAGCGAATCCACTTTACCAGAAGTTTGATTCCTGTAAATGGAATAGAATATTAATGGTACATGTATATATAGGCAGTGGTAACGGTATGGTTACTTCCGGTAGTTATCGGAGGTCAAACACGAGGCATTACGATTTCATCTTCACTTGTCATTTGTGATTCATGGTACGTTTATTCAATATGACAATCGTAATATCAATCTTTCTGTTACATGTCCGTATTTCAACTATCAAGTGACAAATAGTCTTATTTTCCGTAAATAAAACCTACCTATCGTTCTATATGAATTCCACTTTAGGTCAGACTTCCCCACATATCGGAGACAATGTCGCGTGTCAGATCTTATCGCTGTCTGCACGTCAGTGTTGGAGGGGTGAACAGGTTCACATAAGAAAGTTAATGTTAATATACAACACTTGAAACAACTCTAATTATGTATATGTGGACATATTAGGTAGTCAAATGTTGAATGTTGGAAAAAATAGTCAGAACAGTCGATCCTAATATCACATACTGGTGAACAGAGTATGAACGGTCCAAAATGTAATAAACTGTCGAAAATAGTCAGAATGATAGACAAAAATAATATGTGCAGGAGAAAATTAGCAGAACAGTGAACCAAGCTACCATACACCGATGAAAGATTTCAGAACGGTCGACCAAAATACCATAGATTGGAGAAAATGACCAGAACGGCGACCAAAATATTCCACACTGCTGAGGATAATCAGAAGGTGAAAATAGTTTTAATGGTAGACCAAAATATCATACACTGGCGAAATTTGTCAGAATAGTTGATCAAAATGCCATCCATTCATAAAAATAATTAGAACGGTCTACCAATATACCACAGACTGATGAAAATAGTCAGAACGGTCTACCAATATACCACAGACTGGAGTAAATAGTCAGAACGGTCTACCAATATACTACAGACTGGAGAAAATAGTCAGAACGGTCTACCAATATACCACAGACTGGAGAAAATAGTCAGAACGGTCTACCAATATACCACAGACTGGAGAAAATAGCCAGAACGGTCTACCAATATACCACAGACTGAAGAAAATAGTCAGAACGGTCTACCAATATACCACAGACTGGAGAAAATAGTCAGAACGGTCTACCAATATACCACAGACTGGAGAAAATAGCCAGAACGGTCTACCAATATACCACAGACTGGAGAAAATAGCCAGAACGGTCTACCAATATACCACAGACTGAAGAAAATAGTCAGAACGGTCTACCAATATACCACAGACTGGAGAAAATAGCCAGAACGGTCTACCAATATACCACAGACTGAAGAAAATAGTCAGAACGGTCTACCAATATACCAGAGACTGGAGAAAATAGTCAGAACGGTCTACCAATATACCACAGACTGGAGAAAATAGTCAGAACGGTCTACCAATATACCACAGACTGGAGAAAATAGTCAGAACGGTCTACCAATATACCACAGACTGGAGAAAATAGTCAGAACGGTCTACCAATATACCACAGACTGGAGAAAATAGTCAGAACGGTCTACCAATATACCAGAGACTGGACAAAATAGAACGGTCTACCAATATATCACATATTGGTAAAAAGTTTAAACAAAATATCAAACTCCAGTGAAAGTTATCAGAAAGTTCCACCAAGATGTTATTGATTGGTGAAAATGCAATAAAGATACCGATATTTTCCGAATGCTCGCTAAAACACTGATAATGCGTAGCTTTTTCAAAAGATATGGAAGCATTGCTGGTGGAGTCAACGACTCGATGAAACCTTTCAGCAGTTCCTCGACGCATGTGAAGTGTTCGTGCTTCCTTGTGGCTGTGTTATATTAGACAGTATGCTTATAGAAGGCGAACAAGACTTGTTTCGAGCAATATTAAAGTACGTCCGTTATATCTTTGTTATAAATGCTTAATATGACGCGAGTGTTTTATCGCCCTTTATACATTAGCAATATTTTAGAGCCAATATGTTTGTATTGGTCAACGCCATAGGTAAAAAAGACAACAGCTTGCGTTGTGTTAGACAAATGTTGATATACACGTAGCCTAGCGAAAAAGGCAGAGGCCGACAATAAAAATTGTGTTAAAATGCTTATTAATATTCTAGTTCCGGGCGCGTGTGACTTTCACTGTATGGTTATTTCTTTTATGTGTTTAAAGATCACAACACAAATTTTAAAGATAAAAATACACTCTAGTCATCGAAATGGTACAGATAAAAAGTTATTAGAACTAGACACAAACCTAAAATCATGAACAAAGAACATTGAATACTCTCCATGTACATATATGTACAGATGGCATGCTCTACAAAGCTGGAGAGTTTCTTTTGATAAGTAATCTACCTTACCTGTACAGGTCATGATTCCTCCTAGATCATCTGTCGGCCTTATCAGAAGAGATCGTCCAAGGTAAGCGATCTATAATCACGTCACAGGCAATCTAACTTAATTTTCCTCGATAAACAATCATTGCTGCGGTTGACAGCGTTCATTCCTCACCCCCCGGCGATGTGTAATGAGTCAAGGTGTGCCTAACCGGTCAATATTTGTCTGTAGCTGGGATTGTTCTCACGGGATGCAGATTGTATCAACTTGATGTTTAAGGATGATAGACTTAAAATATTGCCAGCCATCATAAAACAAAAATTGTCGTTATAACGTTATCAAATGGGTCTACAAACAATTGTCGGCTTCTGACGATTTACAAGACTGGTGTATCGACGATATCTCAACCTCATCCGGTGTGAAGACTTTCTATCATTTTGTCCTCTGTTACAGTGTGATCACCAGGGTTATAAAACAGAAAACATTTTTTAACATAATACATAGGGTATGACGGTCGTCACGAATGACTTAACATAATACATAGAGTATGTCGGTCATTATGGTTGACTTAACATAATACAAGGAGTATGTCTGTCGTCACGATTGACTTAACATAATACGTAGGGTATGACGGTCGTCACGATTGACTTAACATAATACATAGAGTATGTCGGTCGTCTTGGTTGACTTAACATAATACAAAGAGTATGTCTGTCGTCACGATTGACTTAACATAATACATAGTGTATGTCTGTCGTCATGATTGACTTAACAAAATACATAGAGTATGTCGGTGATCACGATTGACTTACATATGTCCCTAAAACTCCCTTCGGTTTTATTGTGTTGTGATATCTATTTGTGCTTTTGATATGTTCTTGAAAATATTTCTGTGTAATTATTGTATGCATTACATGGTTTTACTGCAATCTGAAGTGTTGAGATCGTATTTTCAAATCTGTCAGCGATCTTTAATATAATGTACTAGACCGTAAACTTGGATGTATGTGGTATAAAGGTGCTTTACTAAACTTGAAAAAACGATATGTCCGATAGGCAACAACAGGCTATTGTTAAAAATGAATTTCCGCATGTAGGGTATGCAAGTGCTGGCGTTCCACAAGGAAGTGTATTAGGACCACTTTTGTTTATAATACATATAAACAATATTGCTGATAACTTGAGTAGCATTCCTTGTCTATTCACTGACGATACTTCTTTAATGTACTCTTCGTCTTCTTTTGATGATGTTGAAATACATCTCAATAGAGATTTATATTTAAAGCAATGATCTTACAAAATTTAATCCCCTTTATGACAATATCTGACTCTAGAGACATTCTACCTTTACAGCTAATGTTTGGTGTTGAAATTTTGAGATGTGTTGAAAGTCACAGGTGTAACAATTAGTGCAGATGCAAAATAATCCCTGCATATTTCAGAAATATAAAACTCGTGTATGAAAAAAAGTGTTTATGGAGCTAAGATTTTTGATAAGTAGGAAAACTTTGTTAAGAATATATAAAGCGTTTGTATTGTCTGTATTGGAGTAAGCATGTGAAGTGTGGGATGGTTGCTCTCTATCAGATGCTAACAAATTAAAACAAGTTCAGCTGGTAGCTTCTTGAATTATTACTGGTATGTCTTCTTTTTCTAGCAAACATTCTTTGTATCAAGAATCCCAACTTGAGCCACATCCTGAAATAAGCGAGACTAAAAATCTTACTCATAAACTTCATAATATCTTAACTCCGTCTTATTTAAGTGATATTCTTCCTTCAAAAGTAGGTGAACAAATTACTTTACAATGTGAGAAATGCTGAAAACTACATTGTTCCTAAATTCTGATTATCAAGTTCCTTCCAATCTTATTTTCCATCTACTATAAAGTTGTGGAACGATTTAGTAAATAATGTCAGAAAGCAACCATCCATCCACAGTTTACTTAATTCAACAACATATCGATTCTTTACCTTAGCTTCTCTTTAGTTGGAAAAAGAAAATTAAACGTTGTACATACAAGGTCATGGCATTCATGTAGTAGTATGAATCACGATTTATACAGAGTTAATATTATAAATGGTCCATCGTGTGTCTGTGGAAATGATTGTGAAAACGTTGAACATTCTTATCTTGATTGTAGCCTGTATACACGACAACGTCCAACTTTAATTGACTGAGTATTGAGATATAGTGATATCATTGTCGATGTTTTATCAACATTATTCTCCAAATTTGTCTGATGTGGAAAACCAAAACATTTTTCATGCTGTACAAACTTCTATCAAAGACAGTAACATATTCTAATGTCAAGTGTGTATTAAGCAACATTCACCTTCCTTTCTCCTTTCCTGTTATCTCTTTTTTTATTTATGCATATTTCATAAATATTTTGTTTTTGCTGTCCTGTACATTGTTTCATTAATAGAAAGAAGTTAATACATGTACTAAGTTCTGATAATTTGTGCCTTATCTGATTGTAATAAAATATCTCAATTTGCTAAGGTCTTTTTTTTTCGAGTTGTACCACCTGATGCTTAACACACTGTTCTATGTTACA